GAATCTTACTCTTTTTTGTCTCATGTTTTGGAGTATGGTACATTTTGTTAGATTGTTGCATTTTTGTACATATAACTGCTAGCTGTAGCACTGCAAGCACAATACGATTCAGTTTTTGTGGAAAGTGAATACAGGTATAGAAACGGCCTGTTTTATGTTCAGTGTGCGCCAGTGTGCGTGCAGACAGCTGTCAGCAGCTATTTGTGCTTGTGTTTGTTGGCTTGACTCTTTCTTTGTCGCATTTGCAGCTAGGTGCATGGGACGTAAGTGGTCCGATGGCGGAAAGGCAGTTTCCAGTTGCCCATCACGAGAGTCTTGAATTTGCCCTTCTGCCTTACGTCTTCTCCGTCAGGGTGCGTGTCCTAACTTAGTCGGTTTGTTGTGTGTGTGTGTGTATATGTGTGTGTGTGTGTGTGTGTGTGTGTGTGTGTGTGTGTGTGTGTGTGCACGCACATGTGTTTTAATTACACCGTGCAGCCTATTTCCGACACTCAGCTTGCACTCGAATCAGCCTGGGCAAAGAAGCACCCAGAGGGCGTGGATGGCATGGATTTCATTGATTTCCCTCAAAAGGCAAGTTTTTCATGCAGTGTTCGTTGAACACATGGTGTAGGTTAATGTAAGGTAATGTCGGGTACCGCAACTGCATGCTTGGAGGGATAGTTTCATTGTCACCCAGCCTATGTGTGGTGCAGGCAATGAGCTATCTTTGCTAGAGCTGCACTTCAATTAATTGTAACGCCGGATTGGTTGGCTAAACACCTGGGTGTTAGCGCAGAAGAAGGAAGAGGTACGAAATTTGCCACAAATATTAACTTAGGGATTGAATGGACTGGCTATGTGCGGGCAATGTCGCCATGGAGTGTGACCTTGCACCTATTGGTACCGCTGACTATTGGCGTGAGTCTAGGATGTGTTGTTTGCGCCATATAGGTAGTCTCTTTGCACCCGAGTGTGCTTATATCCATCGAGGCAACTGTCTGTGAGGCTCTTTTTTCCGGATCTGTGCACAGTGGTAGTCATTAGGCCCCTGAAGAGCACCACAGGTCTTGTTTATTTGTGACATTGTGTTTTACAAAACAGACAGTCTGGACAGTTGGCTGGCTATTCCTGTCTTGTTTATGGAGAACTTGCCGGTAGTTAGTGAGGACATTTAGAATTAGAAGTGCACCGTGTTCAGGCTAGTTTCTCAGCTGCAAACAGACGAGTATTGGACGTATTTCCACCAGTGGACCTTGACTTGTCCCCGAGATGACTTGGACTCGCACTGTTCGCCACCGGGTGTTGAGATTGCACACCCGTGTGTTGCCTGTAAGGTACTTTAGTCGCAGTCACAGCCCGGAACAGGTGTTGGTGTTTTGTTGTAGCTGTGCTGCCAGTGCTGGTGCTGAGGCTAGTGCCGGGCCTGGTGGTGGTTGTGCAGGTGGTTAAGTGTAGTGTCTTGCCCCAGGCCGGTGGTCTTCACAGCAACCGACCACAGTGCGTTTGTTTTAACAGGCATGTGGCGTTTTTGATTTTTTAGTTTGTTCTCATTCTAAATCTGAATTTTTCTCTTCACAGCTGCGTTTGTGTGGGTCTTGGATTGATGAAAATTAAGTTTGGGGGTCGACAAAGCCGACGCAGCACGATGATTTCCGCCGTCAGCATCCCTGGCACATCTGTTCATGGTGGAAATGCTTACGCCACACGCAGCACAACGAATGGAATGCTTGAGACCAAGTCGATGCCCATTGGTCTTCTCGTCTTCGCAAAATTGTGAAACAGGCACCAACATGGCCCGTTTGCGTTTTGTTAAGTGTGGCATGTCGAGAGAACAAGTTGCCACGAACGCAAAGGCACTCGAGAAAAAGCAAAATAGGGCCACAGAGCAGTCAACAACGAAATGATGCCTACAGCCACGTGGAGCTCGAAGAACACTCTGAGCAAATGCGACACGAGTCGCACAATGGGCTTATGGCGTCCAGTGCACCGTCATGGGTCCTGTATAACAATGACTCTGCTTTACGCAGGTCTCTCTCAGAGGCTTTCAGCAAGCTGGGAATGACGCCGTCAATCGAGGGTGTAGCAAGAACAGGGCCTTCTGGTCTAGGCCAGTCTTTCATGATGGTCTCACGTTCAGTCTTGGACAAGCCACGCCTCAAGCTCTCACTAACGTAATTCGTGATATGTTCGTCAACTTTGGACAAGCTACTTCAAAGTAGATTCTACATCCTTGGATGGATCAAAGTCATTTTCCACATATTTGTACCGCTTGGCATGTGGTTCCAGCTGGCTATCCGAGTGACCTGGAGATCCGATTTCTTCTCTGCGGATGTCACTTGCCCATTCACAGGCGTTACCTGCCCCTTCACGGGCGTTGCTGGCCCCTTCACGGGCAAACTCGGCCAGCGTAGGGACCCTGCCTGGAATGGCACTCTCAGGGTTCTGACGAGTGTAACTTACCATTCGAACCATTCCTGAAGATCCCATCCAGGCATCCACTTCTGCAGGGACAGTTGGGATTGCATCGGTGTTTGTTGTTGATTCCATCTTGCCGGAAACAATACTCACTAACAAAAAACGAAGTCTCGAAACAAGAACGGTAAAAAACAAAACCTGTCGGCTGTCTGAGCAAAGAAAAAAGGTAAAGAAGGATGTGGGAGCGGAGGGCAAGTGCTGGGTGAGCCAGCAGGGTGCGTGATTAGCGTATACGATGTACGGGTACTAAACAATTAAAATAAATAAAAGCTTTGAATTGCTGTCCGAGTATAGGCAGCAACTAGGTTGTTGCTAGGCAATACATAGTTATATCGAACCGTAGTCTCCGACATACAAGCAAAATAGGGCCACAGAGCAGTCAACAACAAAACGATTCCTCCAGCCACGTGGAGCTAAAAACACTCTGAACAAATGCGACGAGTCACACCCGGTTTTTCGAATTTTGCGAGCAGATTTTCATGATGCAACTCGCACGACATGCTCAAAAGTGGCCGTGAGTACGTTCTCAACGTTTTCAGGGTCTATTTTTTTTAAAAATGCACTATAGTTTGTCAATCCTGTATGCTATGTCCTACATCATGCTGTTCAAGTTGAGTTGGCTAGTCGACCATTGGCCTGCACCATATTAACCATCTTTTTCTGCATGTCTCTGTTTTGTGTTTAGCCGAGAAAAGCCAAAGCTGAGAGGGAGGCTGCTCGAGCTGCCAAGGAGGAGGAACGAGCCAGGAAAAAGGCCGAGAAAGCGGAAAAGAAAGCCAAGAAAGCGCTGGAAAAGATTTCTGGCAAGAAGGAGCGCTCCACAAAGACAAAGCACCGCACCTCGAGCTCTAGCTCGATGAAGTTGCACTCGGATCGCAACGACCCGTACCGTGGTGTTCAGCAGTGTTGGGGACCGCAGTGTACGTACTCCTCACGGCCTGCATCTAAGTACTGCTCGGACGAGTGTGGTCAGGCCCTAGCCATGAAGTGAGTGCTTTTTCTTCTTCTTCTTTTGGTGTTGCGCTGTTTTGCATTGTGTTTGCTGCTACCACTGTCCATGTTCGCTGATCGCCCAGTCCTAGGGCAGTTTTCACTGGAGGTGTGGTGATGGTCTCTCAGGGCATTGGATAGGATACAGGGACTGCCTACACGGACTGCCTACATGGACTGACTACAGGGACTACTGGGACTACAGCGCTGACCAATGGCTGACCGTACCACCATTTTAAACTAGTCAACTTCGCTAATAACGACTGCGGATACAACGACAATTCGCGAATAACGACAGAATTTCCTTGCCCAGAGCAAGGTCCCATCTAACTGTATTACGTATAATGAGACTTCGGTTTTAAGGACACTTCGCGAATAAGGACAGTTTTCTCATGCCCCGCCGCCGAGTGTCGTTATACGCAAAGTTGGCTGTACCTGTACCTTCGGGTGCCCCCGTCTATACACTGGTTTGCCAACTGAAGCGGTTGCCCCGTCTATACACTGGTTTGCCAACTGAAGCGGTTGCTGTGCGTAAATTGCAATGCTGTGCATGTGGTGAGTTGGTGCTTTGTGTCCGTGTGGACGATGGAGGTGAGAATTCAGCACGGCATGTGCATGCATACGTTTGTGCGTGCTTGTGTGGTTTTTGCAGGCGGTTGAAGCGGTATCTACCGGAACGGTTTGCACTCTGGTCGGAAGGAGGTCCTAGCAAAAGTCATGTCTCCCTCAAGGCCAGTATCATCAGCTTGGAGCGGCAGGAGGTGGTGAGTCCAGACAACACTTTGCATGCCATAGCCAGCATGGATATGAGCATTGTTATGAAAACCCTACGGCGCCAGAGTGACTGGCTATGAGTCAATTCTCAACGCTACGCTGTCGTTCTTATGAAGGGAAAGCTGTGCATGGCAACACTGACTTTCTGCTCATTGAGTATGGCATGGCTGAATAGGCTTGTTAGAACCTTGCCAACCTTTGTGCTTGGTGCTTTGACTCTAGTGTGAGCCCATGGGACCATCTTTACTACAAATTACTGTGGCTGAAGTATACTACCACTGCATTTGAACCAGCTAGGAAGTCGGTGTCTCCTTTATGTTTCTCTAAGGACGTGTTCTTTTTTTTTCTGCTAGTTCTTAGAGAAATAATACCTCTTGCAAGTCAAAAGAAACGGGAAGCGTAAAAAGACGGGTCTGGAAAATCTCTCGAGTGCCAGGCGCCAAACCGGCTGCAACTTTGAGAGGCATGCGCATGCACATGGGTTTCTTTGCATACGCATAGAAACAAGTGTATTTTTGCGATACTTCAAAGAAGTACTCTACACTTGCAGACCCACAAACTTGGGAATCTCCAATTTTCTGCTGCCGCTGAAATTTGGAAAGCTTGGAGGTACTCCGAAAATTTGGAAATGAAAAGAACGCTTCTCCTACTTTTCACGGATTCTTGGGCTTTCTGAGAGAATTTAGGGCCCCCCGACCAAGTTGTTAGCTAGGGCACATCATGTTTTCTTTGGTTGTGTGTAGGAAATGCAAGAGAAGATTGCCGTCTTCAAGGAGCGTAGCGAGAAACTCGAAGCCATCATTGAGCACTCCCGCTCGCTGGTGGCTGACTCAGAGGAGGAGGTGGGTGAACTGGTGTTCTTTACTTCATCGAGGTCACGTGCATGTCAACAAATAGTGTATACTGCAGAATTACTGCTGTCAGTGCTTTTCTTAGCCACGGATGCTCCATGTGTTGTGGCGTGAACTTGTGTCCCACACATCCGCACATACATGTATATTTCCAGTGAAAATTGTGATCTTTATTCAATTGAAAGCTCTGTTTTTTTTCTCGCTCACTCTTCCTTCCCTGTACTTGCAGCTGGCAGATTTTGAGCAGGATGTAGACGTGGACCTCCAAATTGACTGTGTGTGCTGTGGACACCCTACCAATTTCCGGCGAGCCCTGCAGCACATGGAGCGATGTTATAGTAGGGTAAGTCAGCAGCACCTGTCCTGTCCAGATTTCGTGTGCGATGGCATGATTGTTTGCCACTGCATTCTGTCATTGTGCTGGTTCATCTCATTTCCGCCTGCCGCAGATTCGTTGAGGACTTGTTAATCGCAATCCAGATTAGCTTTCTTCAAATGTCTTGCATTAGATCATTTGATCAAACAACAGCTGCAAATACCCGGATTGGCCTGAGGAGCACTGCGGCATTATGTATCAACTATCAAGTCATGATTGTTGTTATTGTACCGAGTTTCCACAGTTGGGGTGACAGCTTTAGGTAATACCTGACATTGTACACATGCTGTGCCTGTGCTGGCTTATGCTTTTTCTTTGTCCAGATTGAAGGCCTCATGTCCTTTGGCTCTGTGTTTCAGACCAAGTCAGAAGGGTAGGTTAATTTTTTTCGCTCAGTCCGATTTTGGGACCGCACTTTGCGAATCCATGTGACACGCCTTTCTTTGGTGTCTAGATTATCATCTTCAATATGCGGAGGCTCCACTGCGGCCAATTAATCAGGTCTCAATCTCCTTCTTCAAGAGATATTTACGACAATTGCAGTGTAAGACCATGGTGGTGAAGAAGGATATTGAGACATGTCTAGATTACCACTACAATGGAGTCTGCACATGCTTCCTCAGTGGAGCTCATGTATTCCTACTTGGATGCCTGGTCAGCCATGTGTTGGGTGACAGCTCATCCTAATGGAAAGCCTCGTCAGTGTTCATCCAAAGAAGTATCATGATCTTAAAACAGGTGGCCATTTATTATTGTGCTCGCTTCGTTTGAAGAGCGTTTACTGTCTTTGCTTCCTCCAGTGCCTTGCTTACCCTTTGTTCATCTTTCTGTTGGTGTAATGATTTCCTCTGCGGTTTGTTGTCTGCCATGCCAGTGTGAACATCTTCTGCGACGTCCTCAGCCAGGGGCAGTACTGTAAACGTCTGCGCGTTCTGTGTCCGGATCATTACAAAGGCCCAAAGGTGTGTGCCCTTGTGTTTGTGTGCGTGTATCTGTGTGTGCCGGTGTGTGTGCCCTTGTTTGTGTGTGTGCCGGTGTGTGCCGGTGTGTGCCGGTGTGTGTGTGTGTGTGTGTGTGTGTGTGTATGTGTGTGTGTGTGCCGGTGTGTGCCGGTGTGTGTGTGTGTGTGTGTGTATGTGTGTGTGTGTGTGTGTGTGTGTGTGTGCGTGTGTGTGTGTGTGTGTGCGTGTGTGTGTGTGTGTGTGTGCGTGTGTGTGTGCGTGCGTGTGTGTGTGTGTGCGTGTGCGTGCGTGCGTGTGTGCGTGTGTGTGCGTGTGTGTGTGTGTGTGTGTGTGTGTGTGTGTGTGTGCGTGTGTATGTGTGTTTGTGGCGGTCCCATACTCGCGCGCAGCTAGCTGTTTACCCGGTTCCTTTGCTTTGTTTGGCATGCATTTGTCGTCTCTCAAGGTTGGCCAGGATGATGTGTGCGGATGTCCACTGACACAGGACGTGTTTGATGAGAACTGCGCACATTGCCTCATTCCCAAGCGCCTGTGTCAGAACCATGTCAGCTGGGAGCGACTGCGCCAGGCCAATCTCGACATGGAACGGCTCAACTATGTATGTGCTCACGCAGTCTATCGTTCTCTCTTGTTCTGCTCAAACTGGCGATGGAGGCTGATTTTATCTTTGTTCTTTCCTCGTTTTTAAACTTTAGAGTGGGCTGCATGCCTTTGTGTCATACAAGTGACACTGCAAGTGCCCAGGATGCTTGCCGTGCCATGTGTAGTCCTGTCTGACTCTATGCACCCCACCATGCTGAATGATAGCACCAAAGACTTTTAGTTCACAATCTTCACATAATCCATTCTGCATCCTGGTGTCACTCTGTAAAAATTTGTGTTATTCGTGTGTTTCTTTGAAGACTCTAAAAAAACTTTATTCTCGACAATCAATGTCCTGCCTCTGCCTCTACATATTCTTTATTCTGCATTCTGTTCTGTCTGTGTTGTGATGTGCAGCTATTGAAGTTAGAGGAGGTGCAAGAGCAGTTGCACATAGTGCGAGAGCAAGTGAGAGCAGGTGGCCACGTCATCGGGCAGATGCTGCATGCCACCGTCCCGCATGCTGCCGATGGCTCCAGGGACAACTACTCTCTTGTACACGGTTTCCCCGCTGACAAAGCAACAGAAATGGACGTGGACACGGATGATGTTGATGTGGTCACGCCGTGCGATGATGCGGTCGCTGTGAAGCTAGAGCCTCAGCACTCGTCCTGTCCTGCAGAGCCCCCAGTGCAAACTGCAGAGCCCCCAGGGCAAACAGCAGAGATAGAACACGATGCAATCAAGACTGAGGATGTCCCAGCGCAATCGCCACACCCCACCTCCACTGGTGAGCCAATGGACATTGAGGACGGCTGCCGGGCAAGTGATGGAATGGACGAAATCCAAGCTAGTACAGACAAGATAGCTGCTGCCGTTGCCTCAACAGGTGAAGGTGACACACCTAGTGATCAGCAATCTATTGCTAATCTCTCCACCCAGGCATCACAAGCCTCCTCACCAGCCTCCACCACGGCAGAGACTAAACCATCAACAGCTGGGAGTACCGAAGATGGTGAGACGTAACATGTGTCGCAAGTATATGGGCGCTGTGTCTCGATTATCCTCCGCATGTTTCGCGTCCATGACCGCTGTAGGCTGGTGTATGTTGTTCTACTGCACATATGTACATAGTGTGAATAGTTTTATGTTTTTTTGGGAGATCATTGCATTCCTTTGAAATTCTACACCGCACAAGTCCATCTGTGATTTCAGCTTTTCTCTCCTTGTATATATAGTGTGCATGTCCGTCCCCTGTGCAAGTTTACAGTGGATGGCAGACATTCTGCTGCCTGCGCCAACCAAGCACGCACTCTCGTATCGGGCGTGTTGAGGCGCCATGCACCATCATCCCGCTACCAGGTTATGCCATGCCCCCCCCCCCCCCCCCCCCCCGTTACCCTGCCCTTGCTTTCTGTTGTGTACATATTGGCCCAGTTATGGAATTGCACATATCGTGTACAAAGACGCTATGCTGATTTACTGGCTTACTACTCTGCTTTGTTTGGCATAGGGACTCCCGGAGTGTGTGGAACGTCAATGTACTTCCTATGGTTTCTTCCTCTGCTCTAAATTTAACCCTGATCATGACAGCCTGATGCTCAACCTAAAATATGAGACTGCAGCAGTGTGGCTTGTATGGCGATGCTGGTGGTCCGTGACTGCGCGGGTATTGGGTACATGGTCCATGGATTGGCGGAGTGAGCCAATCATGGCAATGCTGTGTGTTCAACAGTGATTTGACCTGCACAACACTATAATCACTGTTGATTATGTTCCACGGTCTTTCTGTCCTGGTCAGGAAACAAAATCCGAGGATCATTGATTTGGACATCAAAGTCGTAAATCTACTGAGTCTGTGCATCATGTGCATGGCGGCATGCTCTGATTCAGTTCAGGATCATGTAATTGTTCTCTGTCTGTTCTGTGCTGGGCTGCTGGCTAGCTGCTTGGCTCAGCGATTTTGTGAACGAAACAAGTAAAAAATAATTGATCATTAATTTTTGTGGTGACGTGACGGGAACTATACTCCTATAGTAGGGGATCGACCTGTGTGAAGTCGATATGTTACCACACCTTTATATCACATGATCGTGATCGACCAGCATTCCAAAATCATACTGGCTTGAAAATTCTTTTTGCATTTTCAAGTCAAGTTCGAGTGATCACTGGTGATTGAGTTGGTCCAATATCTAATGTGTTGCGATTCTACGTCCACCTCTGCTTGTGGAGTTTGTAAAATAATCCTTCACCATGGATCGCAAGAATGAGCTCGAGCGCAAGAAGCAGAAGCTCGAGGAGATGCGGAAACGCCGCGAGCGAGAGCGACGAGAAAGGGACGAGAAACGTCAGGTGCGTTTCCGATCTGAGCATCTGGGATTTACAACTCAGTGATGGATTGTTGCATGTTGTGCGAAGCGTGCTGTAAAGCATGCATAGTGTTGATTATCGATGTACTTCATGGAAAATGAGTGGATTCGATCTCTTGTCGGACTTGAAATCATTCAATTTTAGTATAATGAATTGGCACACACCTATCAAGTTCAATATTTGATGCAAAATAATCCTTACACCCAGAAACAATTTGCGACGCACAGCAGCAATAAAGCACAGTGTGAGGATAGCACTATTCTTATGGGCTGTTTCGTCTGGCTACAGGTAGCTCTTACACCATGGCATCGCAGTCTCATATCCACTTCAATTTCATTGCACTTGTTTAGTTTGCAATGCACAAACATACAACCATGCATTGTGCATGTATATAGCAATCAGAGGTCTAAACAATAACATACATGTGCACCTGCTGGCTCAAGGTGAATAGTACAATGTGTGAAAGATATACCAGCTAAGCTGTCCAGCAACTTGCTCATGTTACACTGCAAGTGTTTTAATGGCCATTCCGTGAAGTGCAAACATCACAACGGTGCATGTCATGGCAGTGTTCATGGTCGTCTGCTATGGCTATCACCTTGATTTGTAATGTCTTCAGCTATCAGAGTCTATAAGGCGATATGTTAAGCAAGAGACGTGTGTTGAGAGGTTTGCGTTACCATGACATCCTACTTCTTTAAAGCCTAGGCCAGGGAACAGTGTACATGTAGTTGATTTCCGCTGGATCTAAGAACTCTTGTTTTCAACATAGTCATTGTGTACCATAGTGATCACCAGTACACAGACAGAAGAACGAGCAGTTGCTGTTTCGTAACTCTGAGTTTCACGAGCTGAATCGATCATCAGACGGAAATTGAGCCCTCTGCGGATGGTGGATGAACTTCACATAGTGATCATTAGTATGTTGAAATGGCCCGTGGTTGGATGTGTTTCCTGCTGTGCTATCTATGCTATGCAGGCGGCCACGTCTCCAGAGCCAAGCAGCGCTGCGGCAGCATCTGCAAGCGCCTCGGCAAGGGATGTCGAAGGTCTGGTCGATCAGCTAATCGGTGGAGCAGCAGCAGAAGGTGAGTGTAGGAGATACACCGTGCCACCGGTAATTATATGTTGGCTCTTTGTTTGAACGGTCACAATGATATCTGTGCAGAATGATATCCGTCCAGCCACAGCTGCCTATTCGACTAAAACACCCACACCCACACGCACACGCGCGTGCACACACACGCACACACACACACGCACACACATGCATGCATGCCCAGTTTATTGACTTTTCATGAGAGAATAAATGTAGTCACAGTCCATGTGAGTGCTCGTTTAACCTGTACTACACTGATGCACAGCATGCATGTAGACACAAGGACTAGTATGCTTCAGTACAGAGACTGCTCTTTTGTGCACATTCCGAGTAATAAGTTTAATCTCAGTTTCAAGTCAAAGCCCCGTTTCTATTCATTTGTTTTGATGCGTACAATTTTGCCTTCTAGCCGGTGAAAAGTGCACAGTGTATAATTATGTTAGGACAATGTGCAAAGTGCAATGTAGAGAACACAAACATAGTTTCTTTGCATTGATCATGCCGCTCAGCTCTCCTTACAGCCTGAAGTCTGTGCGTGGTCCTCTCTTTTGCTTTTTTCTATTGTGTACTGTATGTGTATTATTAGGTCGCAGTCCATCACCTAGTCCCGCCACATCTGCCGGCCCTTCACCTGCGCATGCTAGTGATGCAGCGGGTGCTTCTGCATCTGCTGCCGCCGCTGCAGCACCGTCAGTTACACTCACCTCTCCGTAAGGGATGATATCAATGCTCTCAGACTGGTCTCTCTCTTCTCTCTCTCTCTCTCTCTCTCTCTCTCTCTCTCTCTCTCTCTCTCTCTCACCTCTCCGTAACGGATGATATCAATGCTCTCAGACTGGCCTCTCACTCTCTCTCTCTCTCTCTCTCTCTCTCTCTCTCTCTCTCTCTCTCTCTCTCTCTCTCTCTCTCTCTCTCTCTCTCTCTCTCTCTCTCTCTCTCACTCTCACTCTCTCTCTCTCTCTCTCTCTCTCTCTCTCTCTCTCTCTCTCTCTCTCTCTCTCTCTCTCTCTCTCTCTCTCCCTCAGACACAAACACTCTCGCACACACACACTTTCCCATGTGATTTGACGGGCTGGGTATATGTTTTACTTTTTGGGCCTGTAAGTGTTCAACAGTGGGCAATGGATTCTGCCTGACGTCTGCGCATTGTACGTGAAGAATGTGGGGTACAGGGGTGATCTACTTTGTATGTGCTGTGTTGATGTGTTGCTGTGTGATGTATGTGTTGTGTTGCTGTGCTGTGTGCGGTGTGTATGCGGTGTTGCCATGTCGCTGTGTGATGTACGTGCTGTGTGGTATGTTGCTGTATGTTGTGTGATGTGTGTGCTGTGTGGTATGTTGCTGTGTGGTGTACGTGTTGGTGGTGTATGCTGTACAGGAAGAAATCGATAACACTGACCCGGTCGGCAGTGACACAGACCAGTATTCCTCCTAAAGTAAGCCCAAAAAATGCATGCGTACGCCATGTTGTGATCATTGCACATTGTTGATGTTACTCCGTTGGTACAGAGTTGACTGTTTGGGATTGGATGCTCGTTGCCGTTTTGGAATAAAACGTTTTTTCTGTATCTAGCGATGTGGAACCACCGAATCCTGTTACCGGTATGTACTGATACGGGCTAATGTGTTTTGTTTGGTGCAGGAAACCGTCACATACAGCAAGGAGATTCAAACAGATCCGATCGACTTTCCTGAAGCAGGTAGGGGTATGCTTTGTGTTTATGCATATGTTGAAGCGGTTGTGCCTGTTGTGTTTCACGCTTCCTCTGTGGATGTTACAGGCCATTGCAGTGTAGGTTAGGGTTATGCTCCGTGTTGTGGTTTACGGTTTCCATAGTTGCCGCTACTGGGAGCTACTTCGGAGTACGGTAAAACCTGTCAAGGCGACCACCTGTCCCAGAGGACCACTACAACCAGGACCAAGGGATGTTACTTCCAGTCAAATGACCCTGGATAAGGAGACCACGTTTCGAAGGTCCCCTAAGTGGTCGGTCGCCTTGGACAGGTTTCACTGTACATGTACTTGCACGCTTACCTATGTGTATATCGTTTGTTGGTGTGGATACATTACCCTGCTGCTGCCAATATGCTTGCACTTGAACGTGTTTGTCTGGTGTACTGGTATAATGTAAATGTTGTTGTGCCTTGTATTGCAGATGAGCAACTTGCAGAACCGGTCGACGTTGCAATGGAGACGCCAACTCCGGCCGGTGAAGATGAAGGCACGGCGGTGCAAACGGAGACAGAAACTTCACACGGTAAGTTTAGCTTGTTCTGGGTCTTTTTCGTGACCCAACTCCATCTCAATTTGTGCTGAAAGCACGATGATATCGATCGTGTATAATCTCAATTTGCAAATCAAGGGAGAAGCAAATTTCTTGCATGTATCATACTAGTATTTTCCATGTATAAAGTTGCACCCCGCCATTTATCCTATGCCGCACACCGGCAACCGTAGGAAAGAAGTTTCAGGAGGGTCTTCGAACACGGCTGGCTTTCACACCGTGGTCCCGATGTACCACAATTAGCTGGCAGCGAGCGGCTTCCCATTGGAAGCAGTTATCTATACACATTTGATTTTTCTTACTGTGCACACTGTGCTGTTGTGACATGTTGTGTTGTGCACAGCGCTGCCCATTCGAGAGCTATCCGAGGAGGAGCGTACACTGATCATGGGCTCTCAGGACTTTGGCCGTTTCTTCCAGCATGCATCCAAGCTGATGCAGCGTGCCCTGGGTGAAGCCGACGTGGCAGTCGACTATCGGATGGATGATGACGACGACGGAAAGAAGTGAGTGCTGGGCTGCCTTGCAATTACATGTACTTCTGGGCTTGAAGGCTGGGTGAAGGATACTTTGGTGTCAACCGGTTTTAATTGTTCTTGGTGTGTTGATGGTACCATAGCTCTGCAGTACTGTTGGTCGCCGAAAAACTGGGGGAGGGGGGGGGGGGGTCAGCCTCCTAGCCCAGACTGTTCTTATTTTCATGTGCTACAGTCTATGCACAGTTGAGTCACCGTGTATACATTGGTATGCTGTGCTTGGTGAAATTCTAGCCTGGTTGTTCTTCGGCACTCCGTTCTTCGGCACCCGGCACTATTGTATGCTGTTTTTTTATCCTTTCGCCATGCAGTGAAGTTGCAGCAGGTGCAAAGGTAAAGTTGGGTCGCCAGTTCTCTGAGGATCGGTGGTCACGTCGTCGTGCTGTTACCTGTATGGACTGGTCACACCAGGTGAGCCGCCCATGCTGTTACTACTTGCTTGTACTGCTGCTGCTTGGCTAGCTCTGCAGCTGTAGCTTGCACAGTGTGTATGCACGTGTGTGTGTGTGTGTGTGTGTGTGTGTGTGTGTGTGTGTGTATGCATGTGTGTGTGTGTGTGTGTGTGTGTGTGTGTGTGTTTGTGGAGGGGCTTTTGACCCTGGTGCAACATTATCGTATTCATGATGTACTTGTTCTATGCTTGTTCATGCAGTGCTTCTTTTGACCTTTATTGTGTATGAGTGCAAGTGTGCAAGCGTGGTGGCGGCAGCGGTGGTGGTGGTAGTGGTCTGTGTGTGTGTGTGTGCGCGTGCATACATGCGTTTATTTCTGGAGAGAGGTCGCCATTGCAGATGGAGTTCCATTGGGCCAATTGCCTCTCTTCACAGTTGTGTGTTAGCAGAACTGAGCGAAGGTCGTGTTTCTTGTCTGCTTGTTCTGCAGCACCCTGAGTTACTTGTGGCATCATACGGCAATAATGAAGAAGCGCCGCAGGACCCTGATGGTGTTGTCCTGGTTTGGAACTCCAAGTTCAACGCCCAAACGCCAGAATACATTTTCCACTGTCAGGTTAGTGCATTTCATGGGTTATGTTTTCTGATGATGGTGAAATTGCCAGGCAGAGATGGTATGCCGATGGCAATCTTCACTGCCTATTGTGCTAAGGTGTGCTGGAGCCAGTCATTGCCAAGGTTTAGAAGTCAAGCACCCGGCTATGTGTGAAGCCCGTCAATGAAAGAGAGAAGTCAAAACAGTTGTAGCTATACTGTTAGTTGAAGGTTACTGTTTCTCCTGCTCAATCCAAACAAGGTCTTGATTTGGAAAAATGTCCCACGTAGCAGGCACACAATTGAAGGGTCCCTGCCAACACACGCCCCGACTTTTATTTTTATTGCTCTGCAATGTACGGGGAGGGAAGCAATTGGCGTTTTCTTGATGGAGTATTCTCGCTGCCGTACATCCTTTCTGTGTCCCGTGTGAGATTCAACCCTCACAGTCATCCACTGCCACTGGGACTAGAGCACACGTAGTGTGTAGGTGTCTGTGGCAGACGCTGTATGGTTTATCACTCATCTGTAGTCCTAGCTTCATCCCTGCAATAAGTCCTCCTCTCTTCCATGTGATTGGGCTTGTAGCCCGTGTGTACTTTTGAATTCAAGTAAAGAATACAAACAGTCAATCACCCAGCTAGTCTTCGCTTCATCCTGTGCAACAGTGTTCCTTGTCCGGGCCTCTCCCGTCTTGTGAGAATCCCTGGCAATTGCTTACCCTGACTGTGCTGTGCTTGCTGCTTGTCTGTGTAGTCGGCCGTCATGTCAACAACATTCACACGGTTCAACCCTCATCTCATACTGGGCGGTTGCTACTCCGGCCAGATCGCGCTCTGGGACATTCGCAGCAACAAGCGGACGCCAGTGCAGAGGACACCGCTCTCCGCCCATGCCCACACGGTAGGTATAGTTGCAGTAGGCTAGAGCTGCACTGCTTGCTCCTAGTCTTCGCCTGTGAATCTGCTCTACTCCAGGCAGCTCTCTATGTGTACTGCGCGCGCGCGCGTGTGTGTGTGTGTGTGTGTGTGTGTGTGTGTGTGTGTGTGTGTGTGCATGAGGGAGAGGGGGTAGGAGCTTTGAACACACAACTTGAGTGTGTGAATCGGAACTGAACTATTTTTTCTTGTGTGTCATACCAAGCAGTCCAGATGATTGTATTCCCTGAGTTCGTCACACCTTGGACTCTACACATACTGTATACCGTTTCCAAAATGCTCTCGACTACTTAAAGGGTTGTCTGATATGTTTGATGTGAGGAACTAGATGTTGAGCTTGTCCCAGTTGTAGTGATTCCATGGCTGCTTGGACTATAGTAGAACAGCCTGTTGTGCATGTTCCATGCTCTGTGATGTGTGGGCTTGTTTATTATTGTTATTCAATATCATGCATTCTGCCTATGTAACTTACTTGTACCATGTGCTTGTCCTCTGTCCACTGCATAGCATCCTGTGTATTGCCTGAGCATCGTGGGTACACAGAACGCTCACAATCTCATCAGTGTGTCAACGGATGGCAAGATGTGCTCCTGGAGCTTGGACATGCTCAGTCAACCGCAGGTCAGTGCCAGTGTGGGTCTGTGCTTGTAGCATTGTACACTCCCAGTAGTGTTATTTCAACTTATTTGTAGCTAGGGTAATATCAAGAGTATATAACCCCCCAAGAGTGTGCAACTCTGCATATGGGGTCTCCGACGGCGAAAACTCACATCACATGTCTCAGATACATTCGTACTACGTACAAACGAAGCATAGCGTGCGCGCAATCCGAATATCTGCCACGATCATGCTGGAGATTTGCATGCCCGCAGTGAGTTTCTGTCAGAGAGTGCTTTTTTTATTACTCCACTGCTCGCTGAAAACGGGCTGGAAACGTACAACTGTGACACTGCACCACGTGATGTTAGTTGTCGCCGTCGACGTACCCCATAGAAAGGGTATCAGAAGCTGCACACTCTTGGGGGGGGGGGGGGGGGTTATATACTCTTGGTAATATGTGTATGGGTAGTATTGGGTACCCAATCTCTTTTGCCAAGAAAAAAATATGTTCAAAGTGGATTTACTCATACACGAACCATGAAACGTCTCCAGAACCAAGAGTTTATAGTAGACCAAGAGTATGCAGTTTCTGTCCTCAGCTGTGATAACTCAACCGCAGCGGAATTGTTTGGCGAAACCGTGATCAAGTGCGTATGCCTTTCCGCACGTGTCATGGACAATGCTGCTCAATGACATCCAATCCTGCGGATCAAGTTTGCGCACGCTTCTGCCGCCCGATGTTCGCAGCTCTAGGGCTGCATAGCCCTCGGCAAGCACTTGACTCACGCGATCGGATTTCTTTGAGCAGCACTGTAGCTGTAGTAGCAGTTCATCAGGCTCAGGACCCATGGATCAATAGTCTGTTGTTCTGCTTTGACTGCCATGCTCTTGCTGTAACGTACCTCCATGGTCTTCAATAATCTGTACTTTAGAGGCAAGGCGGCGCTGTAGAGTACAATGCCGATTATCTGAATGTCAACTATCCAAACTATCAATAGTCCGAAATACCTATTTGCGTTGAGTTAATTTTTCCCACCCGCCGCATTTTCACTGTGTGAACTAAAAAATTAAAAAAATCGAAAAAATGAGTAGGGTGGTGTGCTATCAGAGTATGTGGTGGGGGTAGAGTAGAGTAGGATCCGCTGATGGCAAAAACTCACATCACGTGGTGTAGTGTTCACTGTGTGCACTCCTAGACTGTTATTAGCAAACAGTGGAACAAAATAGCACTCCCCGACAGAAACCCACTGAGCTTAGGCGACTCATCAGCATGACATGATGGTGGCAGATATTCGGATGGCATGTACACTGGCCATGATTAGACGTACATGTAGTACGAAATGCACATGGAACACGTGATGTGAGTTTTCGTCGCCGGTGGCCCCACAGAGTTGCACACTCTTGTGAGCTTATTTACTCTTGGCGTAGCTTGTTGGCCCATGTCACATGATGTGAAGTTTTGCCGTCAGCACTGGATCGAGGTTGCGCAGCCAGTGGCACACCTTTGGGAGTACGTACTCTTGCTAACATTTACTGGTTTTGAAGGTCGGAGGTGCCTTGACGAAATAGGCATCACTGGCGGGAGGGCCAAGGGTTAGCTGTCCCTGAAAATAGGGATGAATAAATAGATAATATAATATCCAGGTAGCGGAGTCCTCTGGTGCAATACGGTGCTCATTGCTCACAGGGGCAGAGCTAAATCATACAGAGTATCACGCGTCTAGTTGGCTGTAACTAATAGTTTCATGCCATCTGACATGGAACTATCAGTTTCAAGTAACCAGACGCGTGATACTCTGTGGCTCGTGTAACGAGACGGCTTGAAAGCCCAGGAGCCCTTGCAGTGCTTTGTTTTTACCTAGGTCATCGTGTGTGTTATTCAAACTGATAGAAACGTCTTTGCAATACGATTATCGGGCACGTGTTTATGCAATACAAAAACATGTACAGACGCAAAGACCTGTCTATCAGTTCGAATAACATGCATGATGACCTCCAGTGTAGGTAAAAAACAAAGCATGGCGATGGGCTTTCAGGCCCTTTAGTTCCGTTTTTTTTAGTTAAAAAAGAAACTTCAACTTACCTCTATCTTACAGACAGGTAAAATCTGCCAAGTTGTTATTAGCCCGTGCTTCACACAGCCGGACATGTACATGCGCGTGCATGCGGACCCACACGCATGAACGAGCACACACAGAATAGTCTGGTTGAGTTAAATTGGATAGGTGGAGTGCTGGATTCGAGCAACTGGTGCAATGTCACGTGACTCGGCAAATGAGTCGCAACACGAAAAGACTCTGCTGAGTCGCGAACAGGCAATGACTCTGCAACTGAGTCGCAAGCAAGCAAACAGGGCAAACCAGTTGTGAGCGAACATTCGCACTCCCCAATGTTTTATTTTACTTGTATGTTTTTTTTTGTTTTTTGTTTTTTGAGAATTGAATATGGCAAGTTACAGCGGATGCAAGTGCAGACCACATAGGCTGCAGAGAATATAGCAACATGTTAACGTAGAGCAACAGCTATAGGGTGGGTGTTGGTGGGGAAGAAAAAGCTAGGAGCGAAACTGTGAAAGCCAGGCAACAGCAGCGAACTCTACTTTCACGAAGGCAACAGCAGCGAACTCTACTTTCACAAAGGCAACAGCAGCGAACTCTACTTTCACAAAGGCAACACTCAAAGCAAGGCACGTGGGAAAAGTTTGGAGCAGAAGAAATACGAGGTGTGAGCTGCAACCTCTCTTGGCGCGGTTTCGGAGCTGCGCTGTAGATTAGCGCCGTGAATCTGCGTGATTGATTAGTGTAATCAAGCTGCCAGCTGGCAGGTGTTCATGCGGCGCTAACACACTCTAGCCACTGGCTAGTGCGCCATATTACGCTATGGTCCTAGCTTTTTCCTTCCTTGAAATTTTTCCAAGTTTATAATTTGAAGCAATAAACTGTGCGTTATGGTATCATGTGTACTTGTGAGTGCTATGCTGGGAGTCGTCGCGGATAATTTACTGTTAGTGCGTCGTTGCACAACACTGGCAATGTGTAGTGCAGAGCCAGATCAAAGTCGGTCACGGACCTTTGTTATCTCAACGTAGGTCCTTTTTGCGAAGACTATGTGCCTTCGCAAACCAGAGATTGAGCCCTTGCATAGCATGTGGTGACTGGAAGAGAAGAAATTACAGCCAGCTGACGAATTATTGTGAGGCAGAGCTTGTCTTCGGTGACAGATGATGTTTGCTGTAGATCTTTGGCAAAGTCAGCAGGTGTGTATGCGGAGAGGATGGTCTGCCAGTACTCCAGTATTACGACCCAGCTCGAAGAGTCATGTTGCTAAGACAAGGAGGTAGATCCGATTTGTACGCCTCGACCGGCTCCATCGTACAGCTCGTTGACATTCCACAGCACCCCACGCCGTCAACCTGTGCTGGAAGAATAGTCCAAGTCTGTGCTGTGTGTTCAGACTCAGGAAGAGCAGGCTGTGGCGGATCACTTTCTACGGTAGCACCTTCAGTTGAAGATAACTCCTTGGATTTGAACTCAGTTCCGATCAGATTTGGAATTGGAAAGAGATGTTGTGACAGCTCAGACCTGGTGACAACTACGAGTAACAACTAGGCTAGGCATCCAGTCACGCTCTCTCTCTCTCTCTCTCTCTCTCTCTCTCTCTCTCTCTCTCTCTCTCTCTCTCTCTCTCTCTCTCTCTCTCTCTCTCTCTCCGTCCCTCTTTTTCTCTCTCCTTCCCTCTTTTTCTGTCTTCTGTTGCATCGGTTTGCTCTTTGCTCACACACATACAGGATGCTCAGGAGCTGCAGTTCAAGACGGCCAAGTCGGTGGCTGTGACCAGCCTGTCGTTCCCGCAAGGCGAGGTTAACAACTTCATGGTAGGAAGTGAAGATGGTTCGGTCTACACTGGCTGTAGGCATGGCAGGTAGGAGCTACTGTTGCTGACTAATATGATGCACTCACTACTCGTTCATTGTCAGTCTAAGTCAATGATCAATACTGACACTCACACCTGAGAATTTGAGGTTTTTCATCCTCTCTTTGCAGCTGTGTAATATTTTCGCTGAACCTTGAAAAGTGTTTGTGTGAATACTAGTGCCGAGTATGGCCTCATCTATCCCTTTTTGTTCTTGTTCATGTCTGCTTGTGTCTTCATCTGTTTGTGTCTTCGTCTGCTTGCCTATCTCCTGATTCCCGCGCCCACAGCAAAGCTGGTATTGGCGACATATATGAAGGTCACACGGGCCCTGTCACGTCACTCAGTTCTCACACGGCGTCAGGCCAGGTATGTGTGCCACATACACCACACATACACCATAATATACACTGCGCATACACCACGCATACACAAGTAACACCACACTCCTTGGAGATGTCCTCTTAGCAACCTTGAACCTTCCCATTCATAACCATTTGAGGTGTACATTTGACACTAGGAAGCAATGGCTGTGGTCAGAGAGGAACGGAGCGATGCACTGTTTCGAAAGAATAGATTCAGCTCGATCTAGTTGTTCTTATACAGACACAGATTGAAACCTTATCAGGTTGTATCTACATGCCGAGGGCTTTCTAAGAAGCCCAAGATTTTGAAACTCCATACAGGGAAACCACAGTTATGAACAGAAAGGTTAATAGAGACCTGATCGTCCCTTTGCTCTCCTCAAGTCTTTTTTCTTTCGTTTCTTCTCACCATTTTGTGACACTGCTGCACAGGTCGACTTCTCCAACTTGTTCTTGACGTCTTCATTCGACTGGACCGTCAAGCTATGGAGTCAAAAGGTGGGGAGGGGTTCTTCTGTGTTTCTCTCATTATAGTATTTGTGCTAGTGACATTATGTATTAGCTACCTAATTAGTAATCACATGTTGATTGGTGCTCAATGTGCAGGGGTGTCGGACACGGTACAGTCACTACGGTATTGACCGCGCCACATTTTGTCTCGGGCACCCCGTGAATCCATAAAATACAGTCAGACCTCGCATAACAACTGCACACTGCATCCGTTTTCCAGAAAAATTTCCGGATAGGCGAGGGAACCGGATAATCGAACACACATACTGTATATGTGCATGGCATATGCTGTAAATCGGTAACCAACGATTTTCTACCGGATGGCGAGGGATCCGGATAAACGAGGACTGGATAAGCGAGGTCTGACTGTACACTGATCTGGGCTCTAAATTTCTAAAGTTGTCGTCTCAGCAACCCCCCCCCCCCCCCCCCCACGAGTAAATTGTACTTCAGATGGCTGACCGTACCACACTAAAAATATCTTCCGACGCCCCTGAATTGTGATGTTGACCTCATCCACAAGGGACGTTCCTCCTGGAAAGCAAGTCACCCAGCGCCACCTTGTAATGCACTCGCTTTAGCTGTATTTGTGTTGCGTGTGTTCATCTAAATATGAAGACAGGTAAACGTCAGCTTTTGACCTCTTGAGTCAGTGAAAAGTTACACCCCCACCACCACTGCATGTGCTCTCTGGCCGAGCACATCCACCAAGCCAGCAACAAAACAACTCCAAATCAGATACAGATGCCAGAATAGCATACACTTCAGATGTTGAGTGTACAGTAAAACCTGGCGTAAGTGACCTCTGTGTTTAGCGACCACCTGCTCTTAACCACCGTTTTTCCACGCACAGACAGTTCTACACAGACACTTTGGGATCTGGTTTTAAAGACCACCTGCTTTTGCTTGCACCGTGGGGTGGTCGCTTAAACCAGGTTTTCCTGTACTTTGAAGTGCATACCTGTAGTATCTTTCCACTGTACCCCTACAGCTTTCTCGCTGACCATTCAACTCACTCTTTTTGCCATGTTTTTTTCTCACTCTGTCTGTGCAGCACCAACAAGCGATATATTCATTCGAGACGAGTTCGGACTATGTATTCGACGTACAGTGGTCTCCTGTGCACCCGGCTGTATTTGCATCGGTCGACGGTAGGTCCTCTGTTCGTTTGTCTGCGCACGCCAACGGATACTCCCTTGATTTAAGCTAAAGCCTGTGCAGAATCCGTAGGTACAAAATACGAATACCCAGGCTTTTCTTTGCTCATGCCACAGCTCCTATTCCACCATGTGATTTCTCTATTACAACTGTCTGGGTTGTGTATATTAGCTGACCTGTGTAATAGCTGGTTGTGATGCAATCACTGCCTCTGCTGGTGTGCTTTGCCACTGGCAAATGTAGTTGAGACTTCTGCTGCTGTTTAAGCCGTGAACTAACGTCCTCTCAACTCATTTTTTTCATGACTGATGTGGAAATAGCAGAATTTTCTGAGATCAGCCTTGACTGTGTTCTCTCTGTCCTATGCCCTATTTTCTCTGCCAGGTGTTGGTCATCTTGACTTGTGGAATATGAACACAGACACCGAAGTACCGGTTCTCAGTGAGCAGGTGGATGCCGTCAGCGCACTAAATCGTGTGCGGTGGAGCTCTACAGGCCAGCAAGTGGCATGCGGCAATGCAGATGGCACTGTGTACATCTACGACGTCGGCGAGGTACGTGACACCACTGTCAGAGCACTGCTACATGTGCTGAACACAGATTGTATTCTAATCATATACATGTAGCGAGCGGCAAACAAGAAAGTTAGCTGCATTCACTGTACAATGGTCATGGCTTATAAGCACAACATTCTCCATGTAGAAAACCGACCCGCCGCTGGAGCAGACGAATTGGTGTACCATAGACTGCAGTGTCAGTCCTGCTGAATGAGAGCTGACTGGAATTGTTGTAGAAAATGAATTTTGCACAGCCCTTGGACAAGTTTTATTTGCAAAAGAGATGTGGCGATGGGGTGCTCAGGTAATAATTGTCCATGCCGAATATTGTCTTGTTTCCTTGCAGCATTTCCATCAGCCTCGCAATGATGAGTGGACTCGTTTCAAGAACACGTTGCAGGACCTGCAGGCCAGTGATTCCACGACCAATCCCGAGTCGTCAACGAGCACAGCCGGATCGGCGCCTTACTAGGACAAGTACGGCAGTGTATTTAATAGTCCATGTGTGTGTGCCGTGTATTCCGCATTGTGCCTGTGTGCTGTGCTGCTCGTAATACCACGTACTGTGCCGCGTAGGTGCATTGCGGTAATGTGATGCTATGCGTGCACGGTGAAACGCATGGACACGACGGCACACACTACGCACGCGTGCAGTACATTCGTAGAGAGGAGCTTGCTCGCTTAGCTCGTTCTGTTTACATTCTCTTTTAGCCTTTTTTCATTTCTATACGCTAGGCTATATTTTTTGCTTGGCGTGTAGACTGGATATATGTCACACCCTTGCTGTCAGGAGCTGTGACAACTGATACCACACTCTGTTGTCAGCAGGAGCTGTGACAACCGATATTGTATGCTAGTTCTCTTATTCCTTTGCTTATCTTTTGAAAGTGCTGTCTTGCTTTCCGGTGGACCGACTAACATTATTTTCTTCACCACGCCACCCAGATCCACAAGCTGTACATAGTAGCTGTAGAGTTGTGTAAGCACTGCTCTGCTTACCCCCTCCTCCCCAGCGTTTGCTTTGCATTGCTTTTTCTATTGTGTTTTCGGAAGCTGTTGCCGTTCAGCTCCCTCCCGATGCGCCCTTCAAGCTCCGTGCTCGCCATTTTCTGTTTTGTAATATAGAGAGCATGGATTTTTTGTTTTGTTTTGTCAGCATCGTTGTCGACACAAGAACCCGCCTCATCATTCCTATTATCAGCATCATCTCAACCGTTCATCATTGTCACCGTCAGCATCATATAAACTACTGCAGTGTGTCATTGTATAGAAACTCAGTGTCCCCACGATTTCCATGAATTTGCTACTTCTTATAGACTTAGGCATGCAAAGTTAACGTTTTTTTCATTTAGCATTTTTCATGGCTTTTGAACTCTTTGTTTTATATAAAACTCCTATGTTTCCCACACTGTGTTTTTGCTTGCCATTGCACTGTTGATTCTGTGCTGGTATGTGCCCCTATGAATGCAGAGAACCTCACGTATTTCGCTGTTGATTCTGTGGCGGTATGTGCGCACGCGTGTGAATGCAGAGAACATCACATAACGTTACTACGCCGGTTTTCCCATCTGCGTGGCCCAGTTGTGTTGACGGATAATAATAATAATAATTATTATTATCTTAACGCTTCAGTCATTGTGCCAGCTAGCCCTGGGTAGATACTGCCGGCGGAATAATTGGCCGAATTTTCTGGAATGGTTCATGCATGTTTAGTCCATGGATAAAGATGAGGTTGGGTGTTCATTGTGTGATACATGCGCATTTGACCAATGTCAACCCTGGGTTATACCAAGAGCACTAAAACAAAGGTTTATGGCTATACTAGTAGTACTCCCGTAACGTTACATAAACGAGGTCCAAGTGAATCTAAAGGTGGGCGTTGTATTGCCACGACTTCTATTGTAGTTTTCCACCTACAAAAAAAAACCAGTACAGCTAGCCTGGTGCACCGTCACGATGGATACACATACATGTACACACGCACACACACACCTGCGCGCATGCACACACACACACACACACACACACACACACACACACCTGTTGCCTGTCCAACTCAATACGCAGCACACAACATGCAAGCTGGCTGGGCGCCTGTCATTAGGCCAGACAACAAGCAAGTGTCGGCATCTGACGAGTACATGTGATCCGTGAAGTGTTCAATCTGTTCATCTGGCATGTGTCGTGCTTGTGACAACTGCAGACATGACCGATCAAGAGCTAGCAGCAAGGTCCGAGGAGCGCAAGGGATATGATTACCTGAAAAATTATGTCATTTACGATACTACGGGTGACACAGTCACAAAAGGTCTACCGGTCAACCGCGCATACCATAACCAGGTCTACTTGCTAAACGTCTCTGCATTGACGACTATCTTTCCCACGGCCAACGATAACCGTTGAACATTATGCCAACGCTTACAATAACGATTGATGTATTATTGTGACGGATGAAATAAAACAGGAAAGGGCGCAGGCCCTAATACGTGCAAGCAAGAGTACATAAACCGTACTCTTGGTGCAAGGGATAACAATCAACCTTGCACATGAATTGAGCATGTGTTCTAAATACAGTCACGTATTACAAAATGCAAAACAATAAAAACAAAAACAATGAGCAATAACTTCAGGACTAGACTGGGCACAAGTCCTAAAAGGTGCAAGGGATAACGATTGATGTTGTTACCCGGGTACCCGGGGTTATGCTCTCTTGGCCGCGAAGGACTAAAGGGACCGTCACTTAATTTTTGCCGACTACCCGCCAAAAAAATCTTTTCGTTTCACGTGTCACTGACACGTCCGCGGACCGCGAGCGCGTAGATATACGACTCGTACTCGCGCTACCTTTCACGTCAAGCAATCTGTTCACGCCACATGGCTGGATAGCGCGTACATCATGGTACATGTACATGGAAACATGATTGAAGACTTGCAAAATCAATTTTTTTCCAAGTCCAGGCGCTAGGCCTAGGCAGTACTAATGCCTAATCAATGCCCAGGCAGCTGACTTTATTTTCGGAGAAACACTACTCATTGTAGTAAAAAGTAACAATGAATAGCGATATCATCTAGGAAGGATCGCTACCCTAACGCGAAGGAAAGGCCTTGCGCGGCTGCTCTACGAAGTGTTGAAGAAAGACTCATCAAAGTTAGTTGGTGGACGAACAACTCGCTGGCGCCGGAAAACTTGGCCCCCAACGATGGTGTTTGGTGAATCATCAAGCATAATGTCTTGTAGCAGTGTTCACCGAGGAAGGAGAACGCTCTAGACTAGTCGCTGCTGTTGTCCGTTTCATCCACGTTGGGCGTTAGCTGCACCGCGCCTATTGTGTTTTAGTATTCCATGGACACACATTAGCATTCAGAGCGATTGTGGAGCCACAATTTACTTCACACAGCGTTGTATTGTCCACGAGCGCAAACTTAATTATCAGCAGTACCTGTTACTCTTCATCCTACATGTAGACTTGGAGTATACACGGCCTTGTCACGACAGCGACAGCTCTACAGATCATGCAGAGTGTTCAAGTGAGAAACATTAATTTCTATTGTTGGTGGACGAATAAATGGCTGGTTCCGAAAAAACGCGGCCTGCACCGATGGTGTTTGGTGGATCATCAAACAGGGTGACCAGCAGTGTTCACCGAGGAAGGAGAATGCACTCGCCACCACTCCGATTCATCCAAGTGGGCGTTAGCTGCGCCGCACCTATTGTGTTTTAGTATTCCATGGACGCACACTAGCGTTCTCAGCGATTGTGGAGCCACAACATATCTTCATGCGGCGTTGCACTGTCCAAGAGCAGAAACGTCAGCAGTGACCCATCATCATACATGTAGATTTGGAGTATACACACCATGCGCCAATGGGCCTCGGCACAACAGCGGCAGCTCTACGGAGTGTTCAAGTGAGAAACATTTGTTTAGACTTTTGGTGGACGAACAAATCGTCGGTGCCGAAAAACGTGGCCTGCGCCGATGGTGTTTGAACCATCGAGGGCTCCGGAAGCAGCAGCTGAGCCAGATCAGCCAGTCTTGCCAACTCTCAGTTGCCGGACTCTGTGCTGCAGCTAGCGGCACTGGCACCAGCCGGAAATATTTTTCCGCCGATACCCGTTACTTCCAGTTCTGTCAAGGGCATAACTGGAATCCATTGCCAGGTGATGACTTTTTACTTTATGTGTTATTTTGCTGCCGAGTTGTTCAGAACTTTTCAGCCCCGATCTGTTCATGTCTACATGTCGGCCATCCACAAACTTCATGTGGAAGTTGGCTTTACCTACCCGTCAGGCCCAATAACTCTCCTCGCAAGGTTCCTGTCGGGCATCAACAGGTCATCATCGACACAGCGTCATCGCCTGCTGATAACCACTCAACTTCTCAGGGAGATTAGCCGGCATGTTGCCTTTCCACGGATGTGGCACCCTCATGACAACTGACTGCTTTATTTTAGCTTTACATTACCGCAGTCAGTCCAGCACAATACGCCAATCGTATTTCACTATTACTCGCGTGTCATAATTGGGGATATGGGCTGCTCCGCCCTATATCCCTGATATGCCAACTAGATGAAAAGTGTGTTCTGAGCCTGTATCGCGTATAATAGGCTCATCGTAAAACAAATAATAAAAGTCTTAAAAATCAGGGTTCACGTGACACTCGGGTTCCAGTCAAGTTTTCCGCATCCGCAGGAACGCTACCCCCCCCCCCCTCTTGAATCATAGCATAGTGAACTGTGCAATGAACAGATTATGGAACTCCCTGCAGATTTACCACGGTCATTTCTGGTGACTGGTCTCGGGGCACCGTGGAAGCTGTGACTGGTTGCAAAGTTTTGTTTTGTGACTGATCATGGGGCATTTGTGACTACTTCGAAGCACAGCTCTGATTGATCACAGAGTCTTACTGTTGTGAAAATTTATATCGATTGAGAAGTCAAGCAGCCACGGGGCGCTGGCCTTGCAGCTGTGAGTATGCATACGGTACATATTCACATGACTCTATTGTATGCTGGACACTGCTGGTCCATTGTTGCAGTGTGTATGTGAACTGCAGAACCTATTCCGTGATGAAACACCTACTCTTAAAAGACTGAATGTTTGAGCTAATAGTCTTTTACTTCACTCTCATGCTGCTCATATAATTATACCATGCGCCAGAAGACCCTATGTTCTCACCAATAGCCACTGCTAGCTGTTTTGTCATCTTGCTGTGCCAAATGATGCTGTATAGACGCGCCAAGCAGAAATGGACTGCTTATGAGCGTGAACAGGCTGGATGGGGTGACTGATGGACTGTCGGAGTTGGCGAACCACAGAAATCGTGTCGCATCTCTGTATGCTGGGTTGGCACTGATTTGTAAAATGGCCTTCTCAGTATCGCAGGTCATGACGATTGGTGGCAGGCAAAATCGTAGAACAATGATGAATTGCCTAATGGCTAGGTCATTGTTAGTAAGATTGCCTGAATCCTAGATGTCAACACAGTCTAGGTCCCACAGATCTGGGATGGTGCAGGAGTCGGAAGTTGCATCAGTTAGAGAAACGATAGCTGGCATGGCTGCTCATCGGCGTAGCTGAGTGCTTGGAGTGACGTGGTCGGCCAGTCACCACAAAACTGACTGTGGTAGGCAGAAACTGTAGTCCTGGCGGAAGTCCTCTGGTGCTCCCCGTCAAGACTCCCAGAGGAAATCTGCACCGATCAAGACGACTGACTATCTTACGGTCAACGGCGATACTGGTTGATGCTGCACTAGCTGCTGTTGCGCTAGATGCTGGTACCTCGTCAGCTACAGGCTGGTCAGCTACTATGTTGGTACTGCTGTCAGATTTCTGTTGAGATTCAGGGCAGATCGTGACATGATGTTGACTCTGATTGGTGACCCATGCGAGAACACACATTACACTTGCGGGTGGCCTTGCACTGAGTTGACCGGTGCCCTGTGCGCAAACACACAAAGCAACGCTTCTGTTCAATCAGTTATTCTTTCCGCTGTGCTACTGTTGTGTATTTCGCGCAGCTCTTGTCCAGGTGAGATCCGCCGCAGAATGCACACCCTGTCATACTGCTGGCATTCCAGTTAACATCAGACCGCTTCCTTCTGGTGAACTTGCACGCGCCTGTCACCAGTGCACCTGCAGAATAGTGAGTGACATCTTCTGCTGTAGTACCGCCTGTGTTTGTGCGGCGCAGAAAGGCGTCTTGCATGATAACATAACGCTTCAGTGCTGTTCTGAAGTCATTCAGTTTCCATTGTGTCCCTGCATCTGAAAAGCCTCGCGATTCGTCCAGTTGAATCAGCGTTCGGCATGATCCGTATCTTGGTCACAGCACCGTGTGATGATCTGGTGACATCAGACGGATATAATACACAAGAGACAATTGTGATATTTCTACGTTGTGTTTACTTCAGATACATAATCTAAATAAAAGGGGGGTTGTCAACCGACAATCGCTCTATTTAGTTGCTTTTCACTCTTTAGATAAAAATTCTTTTATTTATTATGTCGAAAAATTATGCGGTTGTCAGTTGACAACCACCCTTTAATTTACACTGCAGTTGCGTGATGTCCACCACTTTCTGTACATAATCTAAGAGTACTAAAACAGCCACTGACTTCCAACTACCAAGGGAAAGCAAGCCCAAGCGCAGGAGAACCGTGCGCGCGCGCGGGTACGTGACATATAATATCGTAGTAGAGCTGGCAGGCAAGGCATGATCAGGGGTTCAGGCCCTGCCTGTAAACGCTCTGATTGGCTCAAACCCTGGCAACAATCACGTGACATGTCTGAAAGTACAAGTAGTTGCGATTTATGCTGAAGTTCAAACTGACGGAACACGTGCAGCGCTACACCATGAACCGTGTGGAAACAATAATAAGAGGAGACACGGGATAACAGACATGAACTCAGGGTCAAACTGATAACTGTGAAACGTGAATGCATGCAGTATATGGAGACAAAACAAAGTCGCAGAATTCAGTACGTAACAAGTACTACACACTAACCTCGTACATGAGAATGTCGCGACACCATTTGAATTAGCTCTTACACCCCACTTATGTTTCAGTCAGTAAGAGTACACATGCGTACTTACGTTGACTCTATTTTATCTGACTTGTCCAACACCATCGTTGTGAGCCTTCGGCACTTGGGAATACACAGGACAGATAAGATAGCAGCAAGAGCATCTCCCCGCTCTGTGAACACAGCTCAGACGCCATGCTTCATGATTGTGTGCCCATGGAATACAAGGACACAATAGGCTTGGTGCAGCTAACGAAATGGATGAACGGTCGACGGCCTGAGTGTTCTCCTTCCTCGATCAACACTGACAGTCACCACATACCATGCTTGATGTTTCAAGCACCATCGGCGCAGGCCACGTTTTTCGGCACCGACGATTTGTTCGTCCACCAAAAGTCTAAACAAATGTTTCTCACTTGAACACTCCGTAGAGCTGCCGCTGTTGTGCCGAGGCCCATTGGCGCATGGTGTGTATACTCCAAATCTACATGTATGATGATGGGTCACTGCTGACGTTTCTGCTCTTGGACAGTGCAACGCCGCATGAAGATATGTTGTGGCTCCACAATCGCTGAGAACGCTAGTGTGCGTCCATGGAATACTAAAACACAATAGGTGCGGCGCAGCTAACGCCCACTTGGATGAATCGGAGTGGTGGCGAGTGCATTCTCCTTCCTCGGTGAACACTGCTGGTCACCCTGTTTGATGATCCACCAAACACCATCGGTGCAGGCCGCGTTTTTTCGGAACCAGCCATTTATTCGTCCACCAACAATAGAAATTAATGTTTCTCACTTGAACACTCTGCATGATCTGTAGAGCTGTCGCTGTCGTGACAAGGCCGTGTATACTCCAAGTCTACATGTAGGATGAAGAGTAACAGGTACTGCTGATAATTAAGTTTGCGCTCGTGGACAATACAACGCTGTGTGAAGTAAATTGTGGCTCCACAATCGCTCTGAATGCTAATGTGTGTCCATGGAATACTAAAACACAATAGGCGCGGTGCAGCTAACGCCCAACGTGGATGAAACGGACAACAGCAGCGACTAGTCTAGAGCGTTCTCCTTCCTCGGTGAACACTGCTACAAGACATTATGCTTGATGATTCACCAAACACCATCGTTGGGGGCCAAGTTTTCCGGCGCCAGCGAGTTGTTCGTCCACCAACTAACTTTGATGAGTCTTTCTTCAACACTTCGTAGAGCAGCCGCGCAAGGCCTTTCCTTCGCGTTAGGGTAGCGATCCTTCCTAGATGATATCGCTATTCATTGTTACTTTTTACTACAATGAGTAGTGTTTCTCCGAAAATAAAGTCAGCTGCCTGGGCATTGATTAGGCATTAGTACTGCCTAGGCCTAGCGCCTGGACTTGGAAAAAAATTGATTTTGCAAGTCTTCAATCATGTTTCCATGTACATGTACCATGATGTACGCGCTATCCAGCCATGTGGCGTGAACAGATTGCTTGACGTGAAAGGTAGCGCGAGTACGAGTCGTATATCTACGCGCTCGCGGTCCGCGGACGTGTCAGTGACACGTGAAACGAAAAGATTTTTTTGGCGGGTAGTCGGCAAAAATTAAGTGACGGTCCCTTTAGTCCTTCGCCTCTTGGCCTACAAGGTTACCCGGGGCTATGCTCTCTTGGCCTACAATATTAGTATTATTACAATCATGTACATGTCATGTATGTCAGTGACACAACGTCACAATTTTTAAGTCAGTCTGCACAGTCATGTGCATAGTCATTGTAAGTGAATTGTATGATGATAAAAGCATACATCATGTAGCACAAGGCGGAGGCCACTAAGTCTAAAGTCAACTGCTAGAAGACACGGCATCGCATGGATCAATACAAAGAAACAGCCAGCCAGCATACAATGCGCATGTTGCCTACTGCAATGAACTACCGGTAGGAATAGAACAACTGGTCTGAAGACTACAAACGTTACAAGTAACTATTACAATCATGTGCATGGACATGTACTTGACTACCTGTAAGAACTTGACTAAAGAACGAGTTTTGTTGAAACCACAGATCAGTAACTGTAAGGTCTTCACTTGTCATTAGCATCGTATGCTACTAGCACTGCATTCCCGGACAAGATCAACAGGCGCACTACACGTCCTTACACACGTTCCATTGCAGTTGCAGGGAGGGAGAAAGGAGGGGGAGGAGGAAAGAGAGTGAATGAGTGAGTGAGTGTGTGTGTGTGTGTGTGTGTGTGTGTGTGTGTGTGTGTGTGTGTGTGTGTGCGTGTGTGTGTGTGTGTGTGTGTGTGTGTGTGTGTGTGTGTGAGAGAGAGAGAGAGAGAGAGAGAGAGAGAGAGAGAGAGAGAGAGAGAGAGAGAGAGAGAGAGAGAGAGAGAGGAGGGAGGGAGGAGGGAGGGAGGGAGGGAGGGAGGGAGGGAGGAGGGAGGGAGGAGGGAGGGAGGGAGGAGGGAGGGAGGAGGGAGGGAGGAGGGAGGGAGGGAGGGAGGAGGGAGGGAGGAGGGAGGGTGGAGGGAGAGAGGGAGGGAGAGAGGGAGAGGGAGGGAGAGGGGGGGGGGGGGAGGGCCAAGGGAGGGTCCAATTGGAATACAATCATGTACATGTACATGATTATGTCGTAACTCAAAGTTAGTTTCATGCTGAGGCAATCAATCATCAACGGACATGCGCATGCGCAATGTATGTGTACATGACTGTATCGAAGCTGAGGTTCTGAACGTTCTTGTTGAAGAGTCGATATCAATTATCATAGAATGCGGATTACCGACACACATGTACTTGTAACGACGTGAGGAGGTTGTAGATTTCATATGCGGGTTTCAATGCGGCATCGTGTGCCAACACTGCAACAGTGTAGTGAGAGCGTGTGCGGATCATGCGCGAATGCTGCCGACCGCAAACCATCCCATACCGTACCGGTAGGCCATACACTCCAAGGTGACACCTTGCAATGCTACCCTCGCAGGTGCAGGCGCATCTTCGCGCCTGAGCCTGCGAGGGTAGCATTGGGAAGTGATATCTGCTGATGCCAAAAGACACAGTCATAACGTGTACATGACATACAAAACACATGATGTACAGGCCAATCACGTGACGCTGGTGAACACAGCAAAATGTGGATGGTGGTATTGGTCGATAGAAAAGGACGCCAAGGCCAGGTTGTGAAGAGAGAGAGAGAGAGAAAGATCAGTGATAATACTGAATGCACATCCACTCTGATAAGGTGACCACCTGTCCCAGAAGACCACTCCAGTACAGGTAGAACCAGGACCAAGGCAAGGGATGGTATTTCCAGTCGAATGACCCTGGCTGGGCAAGGAGACCACCTGTACCACGTTTATAAGATCCGTGGAGCGATCTCTTTAGACAAGTCTGTTACTGGCGCAGTGGCGGCCCATCCGAGTTTCGAGAAGTCGAGGACTTGCGATATTCTGACTTCCATTCTGGCCTTTGATCACGATATTGCCAGCCAGCGCAGTGTGTGTGTGTGTGTGTGTGTGTGTGTGTGTGTGTGTGTGTGTGTGTGTGTGTGTGTGTGTGTGTGTGTGTGTGTGTGTGTGTGTCTGCCCTCCTTGCCTCACTGCATCACCTTTAGGTGGCAGTTTCAAGGTGCAAGGTGTGTGCGTGTGTGTGTGTGTGTATGTGTGTGCGTGTGTTTGTGTGTGTTTGTGTGTGTATGTGTGCGTGCGTGTGCGTGCCTAGTGGGTGTTCGCGCGCGTGTGTGTGTGTGTGTCTGTGCATGTCGGTGTCTGTGTTATGCCTTTATCCGGAGTGTAAATGTGTCATCATGGTCATCATGCATGGTCATCGCGTCGCTAGGTCCTGCGCTACTCCCCGCTAGATCTGTACGACTGTAGTCTACACTCAGTCAGTCTATGTGTCGTCTTCAGCTATGTTACATTACACTCAGTACCCATACCATCCAGTGTAGATCTACATCACTCATCAGGTGCAGTTCGCACTGTGACAACTGACTGAGTCTGTGACAGGTAGACTTCGAGCTGTAAGCGTGTAGAGAGTCTACCGGTACTACTACAGTGTAGATCTAAGTCATACATGGTTGTACCGAAGACGAGAGTGCACTGCAGCACAAATGCCACAAATTGCACAATAATGCAGCTCTGGCAGGAGATGATTATCTGTACGAAGTCTGACCATCGATCTCTATCTACTGCACATGTGGCGTCCCAGTCCCACTCCCAGTCCCACTCTGAACTGACCACTTCTTTTTTGGCAGTTTTTGCCAGAGGTTTCTTTCACTTGCGGGTGGAGGGTGTAGCTGATGTGGATTTGTGGTGCAACTACTTCAACAGCTCACTATCCATTTGCCTGCTTGTGTAGTGAGCATAGCTGGGCTCTCCTGTTGCTGTTAGCGAGAGTGTAGTCGTCTTGCTTGTTAGCTTTTTGCCATGGCGCATCCACCAAGCGCAAGTGGAAGCGATGCAGTGCGCCAAGACATTCGTACGTTCGAGTCGAGCCGTCAGGCAATGCGCGCTGTGAAATCGCAATTGGACGCGCTGAAAGACGAAGCACAGCGGTCGAACATCCTAAACCAATGGAGCAAGGTGGAAGGTGAGGGACGAGCTGAGCTGTCTTCGTTTTGCTCTGCTACCTCGCTGGTGTCTGGCTGGCGTGTCGAGAAATTGAGTTGTGATTGACAGCAAAGTTTGATTGGTAATTACTATTTTTGCAAGAGCACTTTAGGCCCGGAGACACAGATGCCATAACTGAAATACTGCTAGCTGTATCCGATTTAAAAAAAATTGTCCTGTCCTGCTTCTTATTCTCATGAGCTGAGCGAGGAGAAAACAAGGCCTTTACTCGATGGTCGTGGTGTTCGTATCGTGTTAGTTCGTGTACGGGGTAGCTGTGTTCTTGTGTAACTGTGTAACTGTGGTACACCAGACAAAAGTAGTCTTGTCTGTGTGTTGATTGAATGTAACGTGCTTGATGTTCGCTTTGCTCTCATTCGGAACACAAAAGGAAATGTTTGTCTCCATCTCAGTCCCTAGTGAGCTAGCTCCGTCCTGTTTAGTTGCACTGCCACGCTGCCTTGAAATGAATTTTAGTTGGCGTGCGTCTAATTTTCTGGACGGGAGTTTGCAATGTGGGGGTGTTGACCAGTTTCGGCACGTGAAGTGCGTTGTTGTCTTGTTTTCCACCGTGTATGCTGTCGGTCAACATAAATAGCTCGCAGCAGGAAAAAAATATCGAGAGGTAATAATGGGTATTCTCCGCAGCTCCATGGCATCCTGCCCTTTCATGCCTTGTGTTTGTTGAGTGCTGTTGTGACATCTACGTATCGCCACCGCCGACTGCCTGGGAGTAGCGCCGAAACGGGTTCGTCCATGTCTTTCCCCTGTCAGCATGCACTCTCATCCAATCCAATCCAATAGCACGCTCAGCGATTAGAATGTGCAGCAATTGACTCAATAAAGCGATTGTTTTGGACAGGCAGTTTCCTCTGTGGACCTTGTCGCTCGATACGAGCACGTGGTTCGCATGGTTCGTGTCTTCGCGAGAACTCAGTATCGGAGAAAGCCATTCGTGCATTACACCCATGTCCACACTCCATACCCTATGCTAGGCCTAGGGGCAGAGCCACAGATCTGCCGCGAGAAGCCATGGACATGTCGACAGTCCACGTACAGGTGGTAGAAGCAGCCTGCGTTGTTGAAGCCTCTGCACTCCAGTCTTTCTGCTGGGATTCAGTGTGCGAACAACAGTCAATACAGGACATAGACAAGTGGCAGAACTGGACATTTACTTGATTTAGTCAGACACAAACTTAGACAAAGGCTACTTCATGTACATGCATGTGTTGAAAGAAAGCTTAGCAGTTAGCCCCTGGCACAGCCTGGCAGCTGCTGGCTAAGTTACAGTTGTTCTCTCCATGACTGACTAAGTCAGAGCCATTTGTCTTGAACTGGAAAGGTCCACTGGGCCATGTGTGCATGATCTGAATCCATGACTGAAAAGAAGGCTTGCTGTGTTCACATGGTTCATGGTGTTGTGCATGTCCAAGCAGCCCGCAGGGCAACGATTATGCTTACAGATGCATGCAAGATTAGCATTGTAATGTAGGGTGGCTCAGTAGGTGCAGTGTGTGCAGGAAGGACGCTAGTGTCAGCTGGTAGCATGCTACTATTGCTAGTCATAATCATGATTGTGACTCAATCAGGAATCAGGACCCATGACAGTGACTGAGCAGCAGAGTGAATGCAGATACAGACGACAGGATGGACACCCTTACTGGCCTTAGGAAGGACGGAACATGTTAAAAACGAAACAGGGCAATGTGGATACCTAGCAGAAACGAAAAGTGAAAAGAGGGAGAGAAGAGGAGAAGAGGACATCTGGAACAAAGTCACTGGACTGTTGCGGCTAATAGGCTTAGTCAGTGGCTGTGCTGGCATGGTCCCACAGCCTCCCTTGCATCTATTTCTTGATGTACGATTGGAGCATTGCTGCTGCACGAATACGTGTCATGCAATAGCAATGATAATACGGCCAAAACAAATACATAACCTTGTTTCGGGTTAGGCGACCTGGTCACTCCCCCTAATTCTGAAACGTTCTCTTGGCCCGCGTATGCGTACGGCAGATGCATGCATGGCAGTGATAGGACGTACAGTTGGCCAAGCACACGAGGGGCAAGTCCATCATAAGCTGAACATCCTCTTCCTCTCCCTTCAAGGAGCCAAGCTGCTTAGATGTTCGCCAGCCTTCGGATTCCGGTGACACATGGATCTATTCTGTTCTATCAGGGCTTTCTTTTAGTGACCAGTCTCGCAGTGTGCTGGTCTGCTACTACAGACAGAGTCATTCTCAAGCCACATGATCCTACAGATTGAATAGTACTCGGAGATCATATAATCTGCGCTGTGCCTGTCTGTGGTGGCAGAGACTTGTGTCGCCGGCAGCCGTAACGGCGTGAGACTGGCTCTGCAGTCCTGCAATGCAGCCTCCAGATCGCAGATGAAAATAATTGGGCTGAGGCTATCGCCTTGTGGTGTCTCGATAGTGCTCTGAAATGGTTCAGTTGTGGCACTTGCAACTGTAACGGCAATAGTCTTGCAGAGTAGGTGCTACGGTGGTGAATGAGACGTGCACAATTTGGAATGGTGATTGCAGACATCACCTCCAGTAACTTTGGGCGGTTAATTGTATCAAACGCCTTTGCTGTGTCCAGGCCTAGTATATGAAATTCCTGTCAATAACAAATGGCTCTGATGGTGATCCACCGTTAGGTGCAGACCACATCCGCAGTACTACGGCTCGGGCGGAAACCAGACCGTGCCGCACCAAGGTGATAGGAGAGTGCCCCGGATTCTTTGATGCGCCGAAGCACTATGATCAATATCACTTTGTGAATGGAGTTAAGGAAAGTGATTGGGCCCAGACTGGTTACAGGAACCTGGCACCCTGAGAGAGCGTAATGTTGACTAAGTCTGCAATGACCAGCGCAAGCACCCCAGATCCATATCTTACTATTGCTCCGCTGGGATTTTTTATCTGGACCGCAAGCACTCCTATTTGTAGAGGCTTGAGGGCAGTGACAACCTCGGATTCAGAGATAGGAGTGGCGAGGGTGCACAGTGATGGTGGTGGTGGTATTTCACCTGCTGGTTTACCAGTGAACTGTGAGGAGAAGTGATCGCGGACTCGACTGGCTTTGTCTGTTGCGTGAACAAGAGCACATCCGTCAGCTGGCTCGACAATCATTGACTTGATGATGATCGTTGTCCACATCCACTACTAGTATTAAGCTTTGCTTCTGCTGCAGTAAACACTACTAGTATTTAGCTGCGCTGCTGCTGCTGCAGTGAACACCTGGGCAGGTGCACATGGGTACCTTTTCAACCTGCTCTGCTACCCCATGCTCTGCTACCCCATGCAGGCGGGCCATGGTGGCTGGGCTGAATTGTCCCCAGATGATCCGGTACATGATGCTGTGTGAAGTGCATTCAGCGTACATTTCATAGTGAGAATAGCAGCGAATACAATAGGTTCCTGCAGATTCAACACCGAACCGAGTCTACCGGATTCTACGGGATTTCGTATATCTGTGCGTGCATAAGGCTAGGCGCTTCGGTCCTCTGAGCTGTGCTGAGGAGCTCTAACAGAGCGAAACAGTTGCTGTCCACAGATTTGAGTAAGGCTTATTGATGTAGCTACAGGGTGAGCATTGCAGCAGCAGCAGTTTTAATCAATCTTCAACAACAGTGCCCCTTCAGCTTCTTCTGTGTACACTTTGTTGCAGGTGCATTGATGGAAAGCCAAGAATGGACGTTGCCACGTAGCATACCGGAGAGAAGACTGGTAGGTACAGACACCGCAATGCATGCTTCATTAATGACGCATGCAGCAGCTATGACTGCATGCCGGATATGCAGGCGTGTAACACCGTATTGCAAAGTTTGCAAACGAAGCAGCTAGGCTTGGCTGGACTTGCTCAACCAAACATCCCAATAATAGGGGGAAAAATGGTTCGAAAAGTGCTGCCGCTCAGTACATGCACCAAGCTGGTGTACACGTGCAAGCGCTACTTGCATACTGTACAGCAATATCCATCATAGGATCGTGATCACTGGCTCCTTTAGGGGCATGCCTATGGTTGTGTGTCCTTGGCCTGACTGTGCACATCACGGCATTGCTCCAGGGCCGGTAGCGTTGACTGTTCTTAGCACCGATGCACTGATTGTCAAGATGCTTAGACCGCCAGTCATCATGCATATGCTACCCTGGGGACCAGCGAGAAGGTTGGATGTTTACTTCTGAAAGTACTCCAAAGCTGAAGAGTTTCCGAGCGGCGGGCAGGTGTAGCAAAACCGGGCGGGGCTTGTGTATGACCATGCTGTCTCAACTCTTTCCACTCGGTGTTGTTACAGGTTGTTGTGGGTAGCCCAGTGTCCTGTAAGACACAAGTTATCCAAAGATTTGTCTACGGCAACCAGCCACCACCGATCTCCTGCCAAGGTAGGCACGCTGTACTGAGAAAAGTAAAATAAAGTGAGCAGAATGACTCGGGCTTGTGTTTGCACGTGTGGGTGTGGGGGGGGGGGGGGGGGCATGTGTGTACATGTGTGTGTGTGTGGGGGGGGGGGGGGGGGTGGATGTGTGTACACACTGCCTCCTGCTAGCCAGGCTTCTGTTTTCTTTTTGGAACAGCAACTGAGCCGCAGCAGCAATGTAGCATGTTGCTACTTGTTGATGTGATTTTAGCGAGTAACAGAACACCCTGGTTCCGAAACTTCCCATAAAAGTTGTCCACTTTGCTCACGGGTGTTGCTTTATGAACGTGTGAAGGTTTACACTATGCCAGTATAGTCCTTGAATGGTTGTCAATGACTAGCATAGTCCTTGGATGGTTGTCAATGACTAGCATGGTCCTAGGATGGTTGTCAATGACTAGCATAGTCCTTGGATGGTTGTCAATGACTAGCATAGTCCTTGGATGGTTGTCAATGACTAGCATAGTCCTTGGATGGTTGTCAATGACTAGCATAGTCCTTGGATGGTTGTCAATGACTAGCATAGTCCTTGGATGGTTGTCAATGACTAGCATACTGCATGCGCCTCAGTAGGATGGGGCGTGATGCCGGGGTGATGCCGTGATGCCCCCGGGGTATTCTTCTTGTACATGTAGATGGTCGGTACAAGAAAGAAGTGGCGATGGACAACCAGAGTACACTACTGTTGATTCGGGATGTTACCAGTTCACCGTCGGCACAGGTAAGACGATTGCACACGTTAGTATGTGGTGGCAAAGCCGGCATGTCAGGTATCAGTAGTCTTGTTAGTATTCTTTGTGAATATCACTCTGTTAGCAATCTTGACAGCTGATACGGTTGCTTTCTATCCATGGAACGTACTGACACAGCGCTTACTACTAGAGAAGATTGAAATGCATGTGCTGTGGCACAGTTACTAAGGCGTTCACAACTGCAAGCGTTGCCGAGGTTTCAGCGATTTCATCTAGGTTGTGTTTATCGCCTCCACGCTACGCGGAAGAATTCGCGGCACGGGCTGTTGTGTGATGCCCCCCCCCCCCCCCCCCTACCTACTTGAAGTATACATTTTGTCTGTTGGTATGTCTGTTTGCCAATTTGTCCATCCTTCAGCCATGCACTGGTCTGATCCCCACCTCCCTAGTTCTGCTACTTGCTGACGTCCTTGCTCTGTGTGTTGCATACTTGTGTGTATGTGTGTGTGTGTGTGTGTGTGTGTGTGTGTGTGTGTGTGTGTGTGTGTCACGGTGTGTGTGTGTGTGTGTGTGTCACGGTGTATGTGTGTGTCACGGTGTGTGTGTGTGTGTCACGGTGTGTGTGTGTGTGTGTGTATGCATGTGTGTGTTTGTGTGTGTGTGTGTGTGTGTGCATGTGTGTGCTTCCTGATCATCAGGTCTGTGAATGGGCCGATAGCTTCCTGCTAGTGTTCAGCGTTTGCGATGAATTGAGCTTCAACTTGCTGGCCAGTTATCACAGTCGTATCACAGACTACTGTTCGGATCGCTCTGTACCCGTACAGATAGTCATGGTTGGCACACAAGGTAAGCCGCGGTACCTGTGACTTGCTGCTATGCACCGCAGTGTTGTTCATTGTGATCAGATATCAGGGGCATAGGACACAGTACGGTCACTACGATATTGACCGTACCACCTTTTGCCCCAAGTACCCTGTGAATCAATAAAATACACTGATCTGGGCTCTAAATTTCCAAACATGCCGGCCTCGGCAATCCCTCCCCCACGAGTAAATTGTACTTCAGATGCAGGGGCGTAGCAGCCGGTCCGGCCGTTCCCGCTTTGGCCGGACCACTTTTTCGCCCAGAAGTGCCCAGAATGCAGGATTTTGCACCCTAATTTCAAAATTTTCCCCGGGGGACATCCTCCGGCCAGACCCCCTTCAACCGGACCACCTCCAACGGCGGTGCTACGCGCCTGAGATGGCTGACCGTGCCACACTCAAATAGACAAATACCTTCCGACGCCCCTGGATATGATAGGTGGTACGCAACTTTCTCGGTGTCATTTGCAGTTGCTTGCTGACCGTAACTTCCACCTTGGCCGTGGCAGTGGAAACAGACGGTCTAGAATTCTGTTGCTGTACACAGTATGTGTGGTCTTGTGTTATTTGCTCTGGGTAGATGCCATCACCGACTCGAAGCCGCGTAAAGTGCGACCCGCTGAGATCCACAAGCTGGCTATTGACCTGGGGAAGCTGGAGTACTATGAAGTGAATGCCATACACGGCGTGAACATCGAGCGTGCCTTCCTGGAAGGTATGGCTGAGTGTGTGTTGCTACATGTACTTGTATAATCAGAGGACAGTGGTTAGAGTGGGTGGAAGAACATGATAACCTGCATCCTTCTGATCTTTCCGTTTAGTGTACCCAATTGATGGGAATCGAAATTGGTATAACAAGTTATTCTGTATATTTTAGAAGTTGGATGTGCACTGTAAACATCCTTCCTTCAGTGTTTCAGATATAAATCAGATATTGATAGGAGATTGCGAAGTTGCCGAACTTCGCCATCTAAAGTTTTCACATGACGATCTACTGTTTGGTTAGTCCCAGTACGGGACACTGTTCCTTGCTAGTGGTGGAAAGGAAATAAGGTGCGAAGTCATTGTGTGCGGTGTTTATTGTTCTGTTTTCTTGTTGCACCACAGTGTTGCAGCTGGTGTCTTCAGCTCAGAGTCAAGAGCAACAACCCCTGCCCGTACTCATGACCCCTCCGGCAACATCCAACTCTGCACCTGCCATAAGCGTGCAGTCAGCATCACCACCAGCATCGCATAAAAAGTCGACGCGCAAGAAGCCGTCACGCTTTCAGGTAGGCATGTAGTGTTGTGCAGAGTATGTGTTTGTTTTGCTTGTTTATATAGGGCTGCTTTAGTGGAATATGTGGCTGGGTGATTGCAGGGGGGTAGAAGCACACCAGAGGAGCTGATTCAAACTAAAACACCGAAGGCGTGTATGGCTCATCTCAGGTGCGGATCCAGGATTTTTGCAAGGGGTGGGGGGCTATTTTGTTGTTCTTTTAAAAGCTTTAGTCTTTGCTCTTTGCTCACTCACTGGTTTGAGTGTGTGTGTGTGTGTGTGTGTGTGTGTCTCTCTCTCTCTCTCTTTCTCTCTCTCTATCTCTCTCTCTCTCTCTCTCCCTGCAGCATAAGACATCACTCTCTGATGTGGCCCCTAAGGTACCTCTTGGAACGGGCCGGGACATTCCTGTGAAACAGGTAAATTGCTAATGAGGCAACGATGGAACTGTTTGTTCTTGGTGATGTATACGCGGTCATATATATAAGGTTTTTTTACCCCTCCACGCACGCACGCACACACACGCACACGTGCACACACACGCACACACACACGCACACACACACACACACACACACACACACACACACACACACACACACACACACACACACTGTCAGGATATGCACATTCCTTCAGTTTTGGATGTGGCCTAACTACTTTGATTTATTTTGTCCATTGCAGGGTTTCCTCAACAAACGGTCTAGTGGTCTCCAGAAGGACTGGAAGCGGAAGTATGTCACGCTTACCGACAAGGATATCACCTACTACCCTAGCATGAATGTAAGTCACTCAATGCTGCTGCTTGTGGGTGGGTGTGTATGGGTGTGTGTATGTACGGAAACGGTGGCGAGACTCTGTCAGAGCTGACCTCTCCGCAGTGAACATCGACCACACGGAATGGTACGACCTCGCCCAGGAGCGTGGGAAATGGCGCAGTGCGTATTCCGCTCAACCAGTACCGCGATCGGCTCAGCGTGACACTTCTGTGCTCTGCGATGTTTGCCAGCGTACTTTCGCCCACCAGAAATACAAGAATCGCCACAAGTGCCTGGCCGAGAGGAGGAAGCCCATATCTGAGCAGTCCGGCAGCCGACTATGTAATGCGTGCGGGAGATGGTTCTTGAGTGCTGGCGGGCTAGCTTCGCATAAGTGTCTCTCCAACTCGGCTGCTGAAGTGTCGTCGGTCTCGGCTGTGGCATCGGCAGACTCGGTCCGGAAACAGCGGGTTGCCCTGCCCTGCTGCAGAGCGCATTGTCTCGGCTGCGGTCGCTGCTGCAAGTCATCCCGTGGTTTCGACCTGCATAGCTGTGCTAATGTCCTGTCCAGGAAGTAGAGCGGCGTTTCTGGGTCCAATGCTGAACTCAGTGCTGTCGACCCCTGCACAGGGGACACGTGACCATTTGATGGCAGTGTTACCAAGGACCAAGGTGTATGTACAATGTCATGTACTACTAGTATGTGTGCTTAGCTGCATGAGTGTTAGCTTCCAAGTTTTCACAAGACCATGTCCTGTGTGTGTGTGTGTGTGTGTGTGTATGTGTGTGTGTGTGTGTGTGTGTGTGCGTGCGCGCGCGCACACATGTGTGCCACTGTGCGTATGTGTGCCTGTGGCTGCATGCTGTTTGACAGGACTACATGGAGAACGAACATGGCAAGAGTCTGAGTCTACAGCGTATCTCAGTCAAGATTCCCGGCACACGGCCCAATGCCATTCCACGACAAACATCCTCCTCGCACACCGGCACGACAACACCATCTGAGGTGAGGGCTCCTACGCTGCTACAGACCCCAGTATCAATGCACTAGTACTCACATCCCTCTCCTGATACTATTGAGGGGCACACTATCACACTATGTTCTAAATACTCGCCAGTGATATAATTCACCTCATGAATAAGGTAGTACCGAAAAGTACCGTTGATCCGCCCCCTCTCTAATTCCCGCCCCCTGTTGATTTTCTACCTGTGAAACGATGTCGGCGTATACGATGAAATAGTAGCAGAAATACGCTGTTGAACCGACGCTTGCGCTGCTGTACACAATACGTGCCAATCTAGGATGAAAATGTGCACAATCCAGCACATCGAGTCTGATCCTCCACGTTGTTGTACATCGTACTGCACTTACAGCCTTGATCTAATTCCCGCCCCCTGCCGAAAACACAGCTGGGGAGTGACATGGCGTGGGGGCGGATCAACGGTACTTTACGGTATTGCGTTTAAGTGCCCAGAATAAGTGAGTACAGTGGTGATGCTTGGGCCATGTACATGTAGCACAATGTGTTATTACGTTCATGAGGTGGATTTTCACTGGCCAGTACGTAAGCTGTTCTGTAAATCACTGTATAGCTTGCTACTGGCATTAAGTCACACGACTTTTACTCACACACTATGATAAGTCGCTTGATCGGGACATGTACAATGCATGCAGACAGTATCCGTAAGTCGCGGTGTGCGCAACTCATCAAGAGTGTACATGATTGTATTTTACTCTGTTTGTGTGCATGCGTGCGTGCGTGTGCATGTGTGTGTGTGTGTGTGTGTGTGTGTGTGTGTGTGTGTGTGTGCATGTGTGTGTATGCGTGTGCATATTTGTGCTTCTCTGTGACACCATAGACGTCTGATCGAGAGCAAGTTGCCCCGACCAGCCCTATTGGCTTTCTGCCCGCATCTCCAACCAAACAACAAGGAAAGTATAGCTATGATTTACAGCAGATGGGCGGTGACATGAGCACATCGCCACACCGTCTTGAGGCGGACAGCAGTGACCGTGAGGGCAGCCGTCCCAATAGTAGCTTTGCAGTGAACGGCGACGATGAAGGAATCGAAAGCGAAGATGGCAGTCAGCCGCGATCGCGGAGTGGCACACTGGGCAGCACGACCAAGAAGGGTCATCGGCGACATCGCTCCTGGGGCTTGCGGGAAACGGAAAGCCTGGGCGAAGAGAACACTGAGTTTCAGATTGTGTCCCTCAACAAGTGCTGGACACTGGAGGCACCCAGCTTTGAAGAAAGACTAGCGTGGACCAAGGCCATTGAGAAACAGATCCTCGCCAGCCTGGGATGTTCGCAGTCCGCTAAGGCAACTCGCGGAGGCTCGGTACGTCCACGTATAGTGCTAGTAGTCACTGCAGTGTTGCAGCATGTGATCTACATCTTGCGTTAGGTGACAGATGGCTGACAGTCCTTTGTTGGAAGTGTATCATGGGGGAAGCTATTGCTCCCAGTGTTCAAGTACAGGCTGATCACTGCCCCTTCCATGAAAGTGGATGTGCCGTTTTTGCCATGCACTGCTACTGTTTGTTGCTTTCCATGCTTTGTTTCTGCCAGCAAGATCAGAAGCATGATAGTCAACATTGATTAATTAGAAAAATGGAAGAACGTGCTGACATGGGAGAATGTATGCTTGCTGACTGCATGTCACATACCGTAAAGTCTTGTATAAAAGTCGCACTTGAATAGAAGCCGCAATTTTGGGCCCATCAAATCACACATAAGCCTGGTTTTAGTGTTGACACTCATAGAAATACCTGTCTCGTATAGAGGCCTGCAAAATTTCACCAAGAAAGTCATAGAAGCCGCGGCTTTTATACAAGACTTTACGGTACTATAATTATACTCATCCTGAACAGTGATTGTATGAGTGTGCGCCATTGATTTGGGGTTTCTCTTTTCTCCTGCGCAGACTGCTGCCGGCGCTACCGAGGAAATCCGAAAAGTGGACGGCAATGATTTCTGCGCAGATTGTGTCTCGCCAAGTAAGCGTCCACCAGTCTTGCCTACACAGTACCACTGCATGAATGTGGAAGTAATTAGTTGTTGACAATCGGGACATCACTACCAGCTGCGATTTTCAAAGAGTACACTGGTGGTCACGGGTGGCATGCTGCCCAATGAGAACCACTATTGATATGTGCAGGACATGCTCAGCTGGAGTTTTCATTGGGTTCTTGGGCAGTTTTACGATATGACGTTTAAGGTTGTAGTCGCGGTTTTTTCTTCTTCAAGAAACCAAATGTATTCAAAAGGTAAAGAGGTTCATTGATTCGCTATGAACTCGTACACAAAACGAAATCGATTTTAGGCATGCGCCCGGAAGCTGCGTTTTGTCATCAAAGTTGCCAATTTGCTAGCAGACAAGCTGAGGTAACCTCACAAGAAGGTCATGTGGATGCGATGCTCGCTAGCATTCATGCTCACTCATTCTGCTGTGAGATGTGTACCGGTGTGTAGGGTTTGACGACGCCATTAGGTGTATTCATGGTAGTTTAGTGGTCGGAACAACACGCCTGAATCCTGAATGGCATTAGTGAGAGTGGCAATCCCACAACACTTGTGGGAATGCACTTTTAAGTAATAACTATAAAGAGTTTTAAAGACACGCCTGGTGATATGCTGGTAAATGCACACCTGCCCGTGCCCACTGCAGAGTTCTAATCTGACGAAGAGCTCTCTCCTTCTCTCACCACCACTATCAGTTTGCACCTGGTCGATGCATGGTAGAATCTGGTGGTTGCGGTGAGAGAAAGAGAGAGCTCTTCACCTGGTTGTAACTTTGCAGCTTGCGGAGTGTGCGTGGACAGGCGTGTATTTACCACCAATTATTCTACCATACTGCACCTGTGTTTAATGAATAAGTTAGTGCTGGGTTATGTACTGAAGCACAACGCAGACTTTCCATTTTCAGCTTGAAGACTTGGTTGAGCATGCGGGACTCTGATGAAGCTGGTTCTTCCTTGCCTTGGCTACTTGCAGATCCGGAATGGGCTAGTCTCAACTTTGGTAGCCTGCTATGCATACAGTGTTCTGCGGTGCATCGACAACTTGGAGCTCACCTGTCGAGAGTGCGATCTTTGGAGCTGGATGAATGGAGGTAAATGGCCACAATGTACAAGTATCATCCTAGTTCTACATGTTGTGTGCACTGTATGGCTGCATAGCTAGTTTTTTTCTTTTCTTTTTTTCTTTTCTAAGTACACAACCTACTCGTCAGAAGGGGAGAAGACAACAGAGTATACAATAACAAAACAGCAGGGAGAGTAGGGGCTGCGAAGCAAGCCTGTGCTGGTGAGGCAAGCCCACAACACCTAATGCCTTTGCTCCTGTACGTGTAATCTTCTATCAAGAGTACATGAAACCCAGAGTGTGTAGCTTCTGACATTTTCTGCATGGGAGGGGGTGTCTGTCACGACAAAATTCCAGGATTTACTCCATAGTTGGTGCATATATGCGGCGGGAAGTAGGGCAGTGCATACGACTGAGCTGCAGTTCTGCAGCAGGGAGACCTGCTTGAAGCCTGTTCGTACTCACGACATCACTCGGTTGTTGCAATCCAGGGATTTTGCCGTAACAGCAACCCATTTGAGCTGCACACCCTGGGTTTCATGTACTGTTGCTACTACCGTACTCGCGCGATTAGTGCCCATGGGCACTATTTTTCAATGTCCATCACCGATGGGGCACTATTCAAGAGAGGGCTTTATTTTTCACTGGCTCTTAGCAGCTGGGGTACTATTCGAGATGGGGTACTATTCAAGAGAGGGCTCAAATAGCGCAAGTACGGTATGTGTACTACTACTACAGCTATGATGCCAAACTGGGTTGCTTTTGCTAACTATTCTATGTATTGTCTGTGCACATAGCCCCGACTTGGTGGAGTTGATGGTGAACTTGGGCAACAGCTTGGCTAGAGACATGTACGAGGCATTACTCAATCAGAAGGGTCTTTGCAGACTACCTTACTCTGCCACAAGGTGAGGAACTAATCGAACAAGCTTAGCTTGAGCTTTCGTGTTACATGTACTAAAATTAAGATGTGTTGTAGGCGATCAGCAGAGCTGTAACCAGAGAGCTGTAACCAGATGCGATGTGACAATTATTCCACAGGGTGTACGTGCTGAATGATGGTTAACATGTAGCAATCCACACATCATGTTCCATACCGTATTTTGATAGCATGTAGCGGGTGTTCTCTGTGTGTGTACAAGTATGATTTCTGGTGTGTGTGTGATACAGAGAAGAGAGGGATGTCTTCATACACAAGAAGTACGTTGACAAGGAGTTCTTGGAGCCTTGGACTACAGACATGCCGTCTCTTGGCGAGGTAGGACCGCGCGCGTGTGTGTGTGTGTGTGTGTGTGTGTGTGTGTGTGTGTGTGTGTGTGTGTGACCATCATCTCTGTCCCTTTCCGTCCTTTTCTCGGCTCGTCCTTTTACTTTTTTTCATGTCTTGTTCACTATATAAGGAATTTGTACAGGCAAGAAACGCCTGGTAGCTGCTGCTATTGCAACAGGCTTTCATGTGTGTGGCTTCTTTACCTATTTGTCCGCCTTGCGTGCACAGCAACTTCTTGATGCGTGTCAGCAAGAGGACTGCCAGCTGGTCTTTCAGTTACTGGCACACTGCACAGCGGAGGATGTCAACATGCACTACGGTGCTGGCGATGGCCGCACAGCGCTGCACGTGGCGTGTGCACTGGGCAACGTCGTGCTCACACTGCTGCTAATATGGGTAGGTGCTCGTACATGGGTACATGTAGCTGCCGCTGCGCTGCCATGTGCTGGAATCACACTTCTTTCTGCTGCTGACTTTGCTAATGGTTCCTTCGTAAGGCACACACTATAATAGTGGAGTCAAGGGAGAAGTGGAGGGAGAGATCATGAATCCAGAAAGCTGTGAAAGTTTGTACCGCTAGGCTGGTGTTGTTTGTGGGCTCCTCCAAGTTCTTAAAATGTGTTTGTGTCCTGTTTGATATTGCAGAATGGTGCCAATGTGAATGCAACGGACAGTAACGGTAGAATTCCACTCGTCTATGCACGCACCGCCAAGCACACAGCTTGCATCGAGATCCTCCTGCAGAATGAGTCACGGGCCGACAATAGCGACGACGCGCCGATCTTCGTGACTGACCAGCGACTGGTGCTGGACACGTTGCAAGGGAAATATGTATGACGTTAGTCGTTAGTGGCTGCCGACTATTGAGATATGCTACCCCATTACTTTATCTAATCCAATTATACTAGTAGACGTATAGACCTATTTGTCTGTATGACTGTGCTGTTCTATATAGACTATCATTCATGATCAAAATGATCTACTTGTTGAGACATAATTATAAATATGCATGCGTCCTGAGATCATAGGCTACATACACATTCTGTTTAAGCTGTTTGAACTAGTGTGGCCCAAGGCAGCAAAACCTTTCGAAACCATTGATCTCCCTTTCCTTCTCGTTGTTTTTCATCTTGCTGTGTGCTGCTTTTTCCACACTGATACGCCGAGACTGCGAAGCACGGTGCAGTGTGGCAATGTTTGGAGTCGATGGTGACATTTATTTTATTTCAAGAAAGGGGAGGCAGGCATATCTGCTGACCTACCCTTGTTAGCTTATAGAATAATACTCTTCTACTTCAAGTACCTTTTTCACTTTGGGGAGAATATACTTACTTTTTGTCTGTTGTTGGTTAAGCAAATGAATCAAGCCAAACAACAAGGCAAAAAACTGTATTTTTGCAGCTGGTTCAAAATTGGAAATGCTCTAAAATATAGGACTTGGGTGTTCACCTCTCGTAGCATCCTATTTCCTAAATAAAACATACTACTGCCTAGAACTAACTTTCTAGGACGAAGAATAGAGCATGACTGTACAGTAAGAACTAGTTATTTGGCAGCATAAGTTAAACATAGTATGGCACTGCATACATGATCTAGCCTGTGCCCACTATTTTCCATAGGCGGCAGGTTCAACTAAGAGTGTTCACCGGCAAGAAAAGATACCTTGTCGCCAACACGGAGAACAGTTGCCTTCTGGCTGCCGGGCTGGTAGCTCGTGCAGTACATGTACACACCGAACGTCATCTATAATGGAACACACACACATGCGTGCACAAACACATATGCCCGTCCACACATGCAGGCAGTCAGTGCAGCACACACACAACCGCAGTGACGAACCTTTTTCTTGCAGCAGAACAATAGACCTTATGCCAGTTGTACAGATCCACGAAATCCCGTAGAATCCCGTAGACCTGGTTGGGTGTTCATTGTGTGCTATGCATGCACATTTGACCAATTTTAGCCTCATAATTTAATGGCAAGCAATCGCTTTTCCAGCTTCTTCACTTTGGTTAGAACTAATGACTAGCTACATCTTTATCAGAAAAGGTTTTCGTATGAAATGCCTTCAGGGCCCATTTCTTATTGGAAATAGCAGAAAACACAATAGGGTCCTGCACATTCAACACCCAACCAGGTCCACGGGATTCTACGGGATTTCGTGGATCTGTACAACTGCATTAGGTCTATAACGAAGTCCGTGCACATATAAAGTGCTGCTCTATGAAACCTGATTGCATGAATCAATGGTGTGTGATGTGTTGCCCCGACCTGAGAATACTTTGGCTGTGCTCTGGAGCAGGGCAGAAACCTATTCAGGAGGTGATCAGGTTTCATTGAGCATGGCTGTAGGTACAGTGATGATCACAGACAAACACACACACACACACACACACACACACACACACACACACACACACACACACACACACACACACTGACCTGCTTTCCACGGCAGCGTGCAAGTGTCCTCAGCGGCTCAGGGTGACGCTGACCGGTGTCCGGATCAATACATATCATTCTACAGCGCGTACATGGGCCTACACTCTGCATCACAACAACAACAGCAGCAGCAACAACAATAACAGCAACAACAACAAGAGCAACAACAACAACAACAGCAGCAGCAGCAACAACGACAATACCAATAACAATACCGATCACGATATGGACAAGACACCGGACCAAGGACTTGGTGACAATGCACAGTTTGTGGTGCATTATCTGTGAGAATGTCATAGGTGCAGTGTCACTCATGAAATAATCAAAACTTTCATACTTCACTGGACCCCCCCCCCCCCCAAAAAAGAGTGGAAAGGCCACACGCACACGACACATGTGTGCGAGTGTATAAATCTCTATTCCGCACCCATTCACAACACTGATGCTGCAGAAGTTCACGGAACAAACCTTGAAGTTGAGATCACCGATCTGCCCATGGGTCCAAGTATCCTCTTCATACGGTACACCACTGCCGGATATGACCAGGTTGCCGCGGAACCGCTCAAGAAGTTGATTGGCACTGAGTGAAGGCATGTCCTCGGAGAGCTAGAAAAAAGCACACAACATAGAAAACAACCACGTGGATTCTACCAGACCTATGACATATACCAGTGTCCTGTAAAGATACTGACAGGTGCACGGCATCGTCATATTCAGCTGTTACAGCATTCAGCATTCAGCATTCAGCATTTGAAGTATGAATATCTACCGAGCCCAATATAGATTTCACGATGAGAACCACCAGCAGAGGACCAAGGACTTGATCATGAAGAAAACAAAAATAGATTTTTGCCTGAAGAATCACCACAGTGGGCTTTGCCTTGATACACCAAGCAACAGTCTTTCTGTATCCAACAGCTTGAGTGCAAAGCGGTTGTTAGATAATATATTGACCGATGTCAACCGCCCTCACCGTTACAAGTTGATGCTACAATGTATATGTGCAGGAAAACAAGTTCAGTATGACACCTCTTTATATAGTGCTTACTCGGCAGCAGGACTCGTCGACCAGCCCATAACGCCATGCTTAGCCCAAGCTAATGTTGACGGGATAAAAAGAAGCGTCCTGTTGTGAAGACCTTGTCAGTCAGTGTGCGTGCCTATCGACTGGAGAAGGAAACTATCCCACTGGCAGAGGCTGATGGACGGCGACGTTTTCTCGAGCAGAGAAACCTGTGCCTCACACCTCTACTCACCCGAGCGAGATAATACCATCAGTGCTTGCAGATGAGTGGGAAATTAACAAGCAGGAGATATGCGGTCATGATGTTGCAGCGCTATTTGATAGGACTACATGTAGCAGTCTAGGGGACGTCGTTGTCATAGTACTGGGCTACATGACTGACAGATGGGAGATCAAGCAGTGACTAGTGCCACTGAAGGCCGTTTCCAACAATGTAAATACGCAATAGCTCGTACAAGTGCTGAACCAATGCTTGGATGTTCCCTATGAGGCTATGGCGTCACAGGGCAACGACTGCTAGCTGCAATGCAAGATGGTGCTGCTGTGCGCACTCGATCCAGGTTGTACCCCCAATTACTGGACATCATAATACGTTTCTCACACACTTGGAACAACACTGGGCATCATTTCTAATTGCCTACCCTGGCAGACTTAGGCTAACATTGGGTTTCTCTGTTCAGCCACATCTTCCAGAAGCTGGCTTGGAAAAGTTGCACAGGAAGAAATCCGGTCTTACTTTGCAACAAAGTGGTGGTCAAAGTATGAAGTCTTCTTGCAAATGGCCATTCACTTTCCTGACATCCAGTCCTTCCTGGAGGCCAACACTCACATATCTCCCATTACACGTCACCAGCTTCTCGCCATTCTGCAGGACGACGACAACAATCCTCAACCCCAACGTAGCTCAAACTATAGCACTCACTGCTGAAAAGCTGCAAATGTCTGAGAGTCTTTCCATTCATCAGTAGTAATGATCTCCTGGGTTTGATGCAGAAGTTGCCCGTCTACATTGTTGCCATGGCAGACATGGACATCCCCAGCACCGATGGCATTGTGCCGGGTTGATCCCAGCAGAGGGAGAGGGACACATTGACATCCCCAGAACCGATGGCATTGTGCCGGGTTGATTCCAGCAGAGGGAGAGGGACATATCGACATGACATATGGTTTTCAAGGTGTTGCTTGTGCAGCCCTCATCGGCTGCATCGAGCGTGTATTCTCCATGTTGGCTGCATCCTTCAAGGATACGCACGAGACCACTGAAGACTCCCTCAAGTTTACTTAGTATGGAGACCCCTACCCGCGGTCACCGCTCTTTAGGGCTGTCTCGCCAAACAGCCCCACCATCAAGCTCCGCTACTGCTGCATCTACCGCTACCTCTGCCGCCAAACAACGGCGAGACGACCGCGACGATGTCGAGGCTCCAGCAACAGCAGCAGCACAACTCTCAAGCATCATGGCAGGCTCACAACCCGTCCCAGATGACGAGCTTCAACAGTACGTACACTGGTGTTTAAATCGCGTGTGTACCAGCGAAAAAGTGATTGCAGACCAGAAGAAAAAGGCGGAGTTTTACCAGACGCAAATAGACTCCAACACATTTGAAGACTTTATCTCTAAAAAGTTTCAAAAACTATCTCCTGCTGCTAAACTCATCAAATGTACTGAATATGCCAATGCTACCATTGCTGCCTGTCGGACCAAGATTGACAAAGCCGAAGCCACCTTAAAAGATTCTAGGACTGACTTCTGTGATTTAGTCACCTTTTGTGCCGATGATAAGCTTACTTCTGACTTTGCCAGCATGTTTATTTCACGCTACGATTTCCTATTAGCCAAACGCAAAGCAAGCACATTTGCCAAAGCTATCAGATCTAAGCGTGCTGCAGAAAAACATGCAGCTGATAAGCCCAGTACATTGCCTATGGACATAACCACATTGACAAGTGCACCAATCTCTAACGTGAAGTTGCCGCTGCCCTACGAAAACCTGTTCCCAAAAAACAACAAAAGAAGGCAAAAAACGTGAAAAAGAATGGCAGACGAGAGGTGGTTGCCCGCCACGTGCCGAAAAAAACACTAACTGATCTGCGATACAAATTTATTTGGAATCTCTCTTTTAAAGAACACTCCAAATATGTTTTAAATAGCGGCTTTCACAATTACTCTCGATCCTCTTTCACCTCTGTTGAGAAACAAGTGCTTGGCTATGGTAACAGCTTTAGACTCACTACCCGTTTGCCCTCTCTTTCTCAAATGTCCAATGATTTTGAAAATTTGCAAAGACAATTAAGATGGAAAAGTTTGTTTAATAGTGTACCCTGTACATTGAATAATTCCTATTACATACCAAAGTTTCATCTTAACTCAGAAAAGAAACCTCCTCTGGCTTTTCCTGATATTGAATATGGTCTACTAGAATTCCGTCAAAGCTTCTTTCTAGCATTTCGATAGCCCATAATCACCGTCCTTGTAATTTAACTCATAGTGAATTATTTGCTTACAACAACCTTCAGTCTCGGCTAGATATTAAAATTTGTCAAGCCGATAAAAATCTTGGTACAGTAGTTCTCAATTCAGAAGACTACCTAGCTGAAGGCTTTAGACAGTTATCAGACGATAAGTTATATAAATTAGTCTTCTCTTCTTCCAACGATACTGTCCAGTCAGCAAATATTAAACTGTTAGACGATAGCCTACATAACACTTTGAGTCGCATTTGTAAAGCACATTCTGCCTTGCTTAACAAACGGGATGTCACAGCTCTTTGTGCAAACTATCCTTTCAAACCTGCCAAATTCTACATGTTACCCAAAATACATAAACCTCTCAATGCTGCAGGCTTAATTCCTGGCAGACCAATTGTTTCTTGTATTGGGTATTGCACATCGCCTGCCTCTCGTTTTGTAGACTTCCACCTTAAAGCTCTAATTGGTAACACTTCATCTACTGTTCTAGCCGACACTAGCAGCATAGTCGCTGATCTTTCGAACACTAAGTTCCCTGCTGGTTGCAAAATTGTTACAGCAGATGTAGTCAGTCTATATACCAATATGAGCTGGGATGATACTATTTCTACATTGAATCAATTTCTTGTCAATGATGACCACCCTTACAGAGAGTTGTTAACCCTTTAAGAGCCACAGGAAATTTTCAAAATTCTGCATTTTACGTGTTCCTCGGATCATAGCTTCAGTTCTACTCACTCAATCCTCACAATCTAGGACTTCCTGGAACGGTCTCCGCGAGAGGAAGAGAATGAGGTCGATCATGATAGCCAGCACACCGTCTATCCAGCGCAAGATCGCAGCGACAGTACGAAAAATGCCCCAAATGCGTCCAATTGCATCCCGCTCCAGATATTTCATTTTACTCGATCGTGGAGTTCCAATTTTTTTGCTATGTACTCTTGACAATATCAACAGTGAAACCCGTGCAAATTCGAGTAAACCAGCGTGACGAAAAGTCTCAAAATTCTCAATACTAAAGTTGCACTGCGCGCTTTTGAAATTGCCGCAATCGCGGCTCAACTTACGTGTGATTTATCTCAGGACCCGTTGTTCGCAGCGCTTCGCGGATTGGTTCTCCCGACAGGTGAGAGTTTTCTCTTCGCCCTGGATATTTCGATCGATGGATTTGAGCGAGATTGGACTGAGTTACGATCTTTTGAAGTTTCGCATTTGAATGCGTCGTTTACGACGCATTCAAGTATGGGGCGGCTCTTAGAGGGTTAATAGACCTGATTGAATTCGTTTTGAAAACAATTTTTTCAATTTTGAAAATTCTGTTTACCATCAACAACGTGGTATGGCCATGGGGACACCCATGGCAGTGAATGTAGCAAATGTGTTTCTGTTTTTTCATGAACAAAAAGCACTATCATTGTTCAGAGAATCCATTTTCTTCTTCAAAAGATATATTGACGATCTTTTTCTTGTAGTTGAACACTAAGGTTAATAGGCATAGTGGTGGCCTGCGGATGCGAAGGCTAGTTTGTGTGTTTCTGAACATTCAAGCGATGCCGACGCGGATCCCGCGAATATTATTATATTATTTGAAGAGAAACTCTGCATTGATGACCTGAAGCAAAGACTGTTCAGTGACTTACCAGATATAAATCTGACATGGTCTGACCCTGGTAATACCTGCATTTTCCTAGACTTGGAAATTTTCAAAATTTATGATTTAGAACGTTGCTCTTTGAAGTATCGCACCCACCAAAAACCTCGTAACGCTTATCTATACATTCCATTTAAGTCCGACTTAAATGGAATGTATAGAAAATTTGATCTGGGGTGATCAGGCTGATCACCCCAGATCAAATTTCCGCTCTTTCATTAAGGCTGAATTGTATAGATATAACCGAACAAACACTGATCTTTGTGATATTCTATGTGTCCGAAAGTTGTTTTGGTTCAGGCGCCGTCTACGAGGCTACCCGCAGGATTTTCTGGTTTCTGTTTTCAACACAGTTGAACCTATCCCTACCATTCCTGCTAAGAAGAAGAGTATGTAGGTGAAACAGAAACGTAGTGATACACTCGCTTTCTCCGCCTCTTATCACCCACACTTTGTCTCTAACAATATTAGATCATTGTTGAAAAGTATTTTCTCTCCTTACAATGTTGAAGTTTTTTACCGAAAGACAAAGCAACTCTTCCATTAAATTCCACCACCTGTCTCCTCTCGTTATCTCTATGTATTTCAGTGCAGGCTTTGACCTGCATTTTGGTAGTGCCAACAAATTTGTTGACACTACCAAACTTTCTAGTAGTACGCACATGCATAACTTGCATATTGTACCCTACTATACAACATACTCTACATACCTTGCTATATAAAACTATCTATATCCAGATAGTGGTTATACATCTTGCTATACAACTATTCATATATAGACTATAGCTTGCATGCCAGAGTTCCGAGAAACATCATACTATATACACACAAAATACACATTATGCCGAATATGGTTTTAGGTCTCCCACCGCCCTAGGAGCCCTTGGCGTTTTTTTGCGGCTCACATGTGTTATACCGTTTTTTCCGGAGTATAGTGCGCACTTTAGATGTAGAGGACATAACCCGAGTCAGAGGGTTATACCGGCTGAATATAAATCCCGACTGCGATAGCAGGAGGGATTTATATGAGGGTACGGTATAACCCGACTACGAGGGTCATATCCTACTTATGCCAGGTACCCCTACGCATTTCCAGAACAACGAACCTATTTGGAGATCTCCTACATCATGCAGTACATGAACATCTTCTGATGGTTATCAGTTGTCAATTGAAAGAATGGTCGAGCAAGGTCAGAAGGAGATTCCTCCGTGGATGTTTGGCATAAGATTTCCTTTCAGTTCCAGTGCATATTGTAGCATCTTCATGATCTTGTCTTGAGTCGTGAGCGGTGCGGAAGTCGACTGAATTGCTGCGGTGCTGGAGTTTGTCGTTGAATCAAACTACCGTCACTAGTTAGATTACAGCTTGGACTCTTTGGGAGTAAGTGTTACTATAATTATGGTACAGTGCTGATTTTCACATGCGGCATCTCATAATCAGTTTTGCTTGCAAGTAGATGCATTTGCATACACTGTTTTGTATCACATTTCAATCCAATCTATTGTAGCCTTTTCCAATCGGGTTGAAGTACATGTACACTGGTATTATAAACTTATTTACGAAGGAGACAGTCCGTTGATGATCTTCAACTCTTAGAAAGGACAATGTACATTGCTGACCCATTAATGCATTCGGGATACTTCGTGGTTATTCGACGTTCTTTATCCTCAGATTCAGTATAATAGAATACTCTGTAGACGAATTCCAGGTCATTCTTCTTTTCCATTGTGCACTGTTCCTCGTCAGTGTGCCGTTCTGTGTGGAGTGTACACGCGCATGTGGTGTCCGTTGTGTCTGTTTATGTATGGTCCGTGCACTGGAGTACTGCCGCCGTACAAGTTCACTGCCTTTCAGGCAGTGAACATGTACGGTGGCAGTGCCCTAGCGTACGTACCGTGCACCGGGATTTATATTCTATATAAATCCCGCGCGGGATTTATACTGGCCAATATAACCATGGCTAGACGAGCGCTGATTGGCTGAAAACAGGCCCTCCGTACCGTACCATGGTATAAGTGCTATTTTAGGCCCTAAATCGCAGGTGCGCACTATGCTCCGAATATGAAATGCATGTACTTCACTGAAGATTGAAGTGCGCACCCCCAATGAAGATTGGGGGTGCGCGTTATACAAAGGTGCGCACTATACTCCGACAAATACGGTAGTTACATTTGCAGCCTACGCCTGCCCAGCATATAATTGTGTTATTTTGGTTTTCATTCCTCACTCTGATGATCTGCCTTTAAGACAGTGAAACCGGTCAGTCAAACAATGAAAACTATGGTGTGTTGACAACTTGTGTCGGAGGACTTTCCTCTACCTCCTAAGGAGGACAACATTGAAGCTGTGGTCATGCTCAGCTACAACAAAAGTTGAGCAGATCAAGGAGTGCCGCACGTACTGTATGTAACACTGCGCTTTCAGCACACATCTCCCGTATCCAGGCTGATCACCGTGTCCTTGACTATTGTCCATCCAGCAACAGTACTTTACATTCAGTCGCTGTGTTCCAAGATAGTACTCACATGCACCTACTACTGGCGGAGAACATTCTTAGAAAAGCTTACAATACCTACAGCGACATGCAGGGACGGTATGATGGGGTGGTACGGCCAGCCAGCACCTGAACTACAATATATTTGTGGGGTTGGGGTGGCTCTTCTGATTTTTTCGAAATTTACAGCACAGATCATGGCCATTTTATAGATTCCTGAGGAAAAGTGGTACGGTCAATACCGTAATGATCGTAGCGTGTCCGACGCTCTTGACCTAAGTAGGCTAAGTTGCAATTATATAGCCCTGTAACTACACACCTTGCTGTAGGTTCCATACAGCCACTAAAGTACTCCGGTGGGAACCGATCTAAAGCAGTGAGACGGGAGCTGGCTAGGTACAGGTACTTACCGACATTTGCCGGTGCAAGTCGTTGACACTGGCAAGACTGAGGCAGAGGAACGGTGCCATGTTACACAGTGACACGGGCACTGTGCTGTTTCCCTGCTCTTCAGCACCTGACGGCAGAAGAATAACAAAGCACACACAAACACACACGCACACACAGCATACTACATGGAGTCTAGTCCTGCAACCATCAACAGATTGCCCGTCCAGACGCATGAGGAAGAAATGTCGGGTACCCCTTCGTTCAGCAAGGCAACACATCTTGGTAGGGTTGACATGCATGTGCAGTAACAGAAGGCAACAAAGAAGTTGAGGATTTCTAATGCCAGGAGACATATTAGTAGAGCGCAACGCTCTCACTAACTATGGGGCGAAGGAATATAGCACAGTCGTTAGCACTGCGTACTTTTCAGCGATGCGCCGACTAACACTCTGTTGTTGGGCATGTCCTGCTGAAGTAGAAAGCAGCCTTGCCCCAGGACATGGCTGAACCATGCAGCTGCCTCTTCACCGCAGTGCCAGCCACAAACACTGTAAACAATGATGACGGCACACAATCAACACGTTACAACATGACACCGACACTAACGACGCCAACAACAACAACAACGGCGATGGCGACAAGGGCAAGGACAACAACAACGACGGCATCGGCAGCAGCAGCAGCACCAACCACCAACCACTACAACCACAACCAACAACAGCAACCAGCAGCAGCAGCACCGATCACAGTAGTAGTAAACCAATAGGTACATTTTGCATGGCATGAGACTTTGCAAACTGGTCGTTAGCAATAATGCCACTGAATGAGACGATGGCTTACCTGTTACCGCATACACGGGTTCTGATAGACTTGGTTGTTGCATCATCCAACACTGCCTGATGCAGGGGAACCTCTAGAGTGGTCTGGCCTGAGTACAGAATGAATGCATAGCACAAGGCAACATTCACACTCACTCACTACACCTGTACAATCCGAACACAAGCACAACAATGCAGACTTCAGGAGGGCCTGGTCTATCGAAAATAATGCAGGCTGATAGGTGATGCTCTTTCCACGCAATTGCAACCCCTGGTGGGCACAGACAGATGGACACAAGCATGTGTGCTGCAGCTGATGTTTACACTGCAACCAACGTGCATACCACAAACACAGATATCGCCACACACAAAAAGCAAAGAAAGACAGGAGAAATTAGCCCTTGCTTCAAACAAGCATAACCTCAAAAAAATCACTTGCTGCCCGAGACTAAAAGGATGGCAGAGCAATAATATGTGACTTATGAACACAGTTGAACGTGGTGGGATCAAGTATTGCCCGTGGAATTTGACACAGCAGTGACCAGAGAACATCGCAGAACCAGGGTGGTACACTCACATGAGCTTAGTGCATACATGTACATGTACAGCAGTAGTTTCTCACGTGACCAAGGACGAATAAGTGCTATGAAAGGGATTGGGTGCTGTACTAAGACCATGGTGATGAACTGTCTAACAAAGGCAAAGGCGAGAGCATCACAAGGCAACTACACTACACAGTTCTCGCCAGAGAAATTTGACCTCATGAATAAAGTAGCGCCAAGTTTGAGTGTAATGGATAGTATGTGTGTGTGTGTGTGTGTGTGTGTGTGTGTGTGTGTGTGTGTGTGTGTGTGTGTGTGTGTGTGTGTGTGTGTGTGTGTGTGTGTGTGTGTGGTAGCGCCGCATAACCCTCGGCGCTATTTCATTCGCGAGGTACAATTTCTCCGGCCAGGACTTTACATTCACACATTACGAGGTCTATCAAAGTCAACATGATGATTAGCAGAGAGTGAACTATTACACAAACTCTAGTATTGCACTGAGTCTTACACACATATTATGCGTGAGCTTGTGAACGCAAGCCCTGCACACATGCATGCGAGCATACAAGTGCACATACGGAGTGTGTCGACTGATTCTCTGGAAAATGCCAAATAATTGTACAGTGCTGAGATGTAATCCCACATGGCCTTGTAAGCACAATAATAAACCCAATAGGCCTGTCCTGTACGGACACTAAAACTAGGGGAGGCATTCACTTTCTCACAGCCATACGGCTGAACGGTGCACACAGGGCTATGAGTCCCACGGCTAAAACTTGTTACCCGCTCTACGGTGTCTAGCACACATACATCTAGTAAAGGCAACATGCGGCAGCTGAGAAACTCACCATCGCAGTGAACAAGGAGAAGAGACCGTGCCAGATCGACTACGGGCCGCACTTTGCCCAGCGCTGGACACTGCTTCTGAGTGAGCACGACATTGCCAGGTTTCACTACCGCCCAGGAACGGTCGTAGAGAAATCCACTCTCACCGACCGTCCATTCAGATACCTAGCCAGAGACAATCAAAATGAGCTTCCATTGACGCAGATAGGAAGGGGAAGCTCCGGGGAAAGGGCAGGGTAATGAATGTACTGGCCACTGTCTTGACTGACAAGAACAGAAAAGAGCTCCACGACAAGAGCAAAACAAGATAGACGTTCATGCATAGAGCAAATTAGTATATTGTGGAAAAGATACGATTCTGAAAGTGACTTGTGACAACTCCCCACTGGCTCCCATGCTCAGGTGAGTGGCCGCATTATCTCCACATCTCCATCTCTGCATGCTTGGTTTTGATCAAAAAATGTAAAAGGCCACGTCTCTAATCGTAGAGCATGCCAGAAAACGTGATGGGCATTACTGGTGTACAGGCACCCGAGTCTACTCTTCTCCTTTCTTGCCCGTTCATCATCTTCACTTTTCCTGTTTTCTACACAATTTGATACCCTACAGCTGTGTTGCAGTGCTTCTGTATTACAGACCTTCGCTGTCTTACAGCACTGTCAGTACGTGTTGTGTGACACATATGGTGGCTTATAGGGGATAACACGGTACGTACTCTTGGCGCCATATAATCTACAGTCTACACTTTACGATGAAATGAAACCTGCAATCCATTCAATCATTTCGATGACCACTGCAGTAAGAGGCTACCTTTACATTGTATGGAGAGAGAGAGCGGTCACCTCAGTCCCATACCATGATCTCAACATACACAGTATGACCAGTTCATACAGACTATAATTTTATAGAGATGTGTTAGAGCTAGATCTCGGGTCGTTGAATGTCTCAGTAGCCTGTCAGTTTCATGTCCTTTTATCGCACTTTCTGACTATTTGTTACTTCCTCCGTTAAGCAAAACTTCGTTGCGTTTTTACAGTTCAGTCCAAATCATTCTATGGCTACGAACACGCTTCGCAAAGTGGAAAACAAGGCAGCATATGAAAGATATTTATTTACAGATGTCACACAGCTCGTTTCAAAGCAGTCCAGCTTCACTCTTCGTCTGAATCTGATGACGACTCACTCCCTGATGACATCGAGTCTGCATCCTCGCTGACAGTCGCCGCCAGCGCTGCCAGCTTTTGTTCCGCAGCCTCTACAAGTTTCCAAGACACAATTATTTTGATCGTGGAGATCGCCAAATTCTGCGCTCGAACTGTGAGCTTGACGACCTCCACGGTGGCGCTGGTAGTTGTGGCCACTCTCCAAAACGCCATGGAAGGAGGCATACAGACCCAAACAAACGCTCCCCATCTTCGCAGCGGTGTAGTTGTGCCAGCACGTTTCCACACCCTGCAGAAGCTCCTTTTTGGTTTCCTTCGCCACGAGTGACACATCTGTCTACATGCTGTGGAAGAACGCCAAGTCGTCGATGTTGAGATCAGGATTTTGCGCCGACTGAGCGACAACCTGAATGTCGAACGCTTTTGATTTCCCCTGCACCGCAAACACAAGTGCATTGATTTTGGCTCTGTGTGGATGCGCACCATCGACTCGTGCTAGTACAGCAGTGCCTGAGCGCTGGCCGGCTCCTGGATACTTCTTCGAGCCACACGGTCTTTCAAACTGTTTCTCATTTTCGCACTTTGGTGTCATGCGCGCGCGCCTGGGGTTGTGTTCTGGTGACATCCTGTCGAGAAACGGTTCTGCTTCGCCGATTTTTTCAAAGGACTCCACGCTTTTCGGAGGTTCAAAAGCCTGTCAGAACAATGGACGACAACTCAGCTACCCTATGTAGGGGATAGATCACTGACAGGTATGTCTAATGCCGACAGAAATATCATGACAAGAACACTAAAAACGCAACGAAGTATTGCTTAGCGGAGGAAGTACCTTGTTATAGTCGTGGATAGTTGCTTCTAGTGTTGAAACGAGCGTATCTATAACAAACGAGCGATCAGTTCCACTAACGAGCGAGCAATCGAGCGAGCTAACGAGTTTCATTGATGTGGCAAATATGATTTTTTGAATAATTTTTTTCTATTAAAGTTCGATTTTTTCAGCTGGTTCAAATAATCACCGCCGGCATTTGGGGTTGCTGCTGCTTCACTTCGGACTGCTGTTTGCTGTCGAGATGTCTTTTCAGCGCCGTCGTCGAGTAGCCTTTGTAAGAATAGACCGTTTTTGCAAAGATTGCAAGTAGCCCTGGTCTTCGCTGCATCGCGGGAGATAACTTCTAAACGACTGAGCGTAACTTTCACTTGAATGGAGAGGTGACCAAAGCATATCCTGCGACAGGTCAGCAGATGCGGAACAAGACATCACTAGAGTCCACCAAAGCTGCAACGACAACTGAAACAACTCAAGTGTCATGCAGGCATACAGTCACTGCAACTGCGAGTGATTTTCACTTTGCGCGGGACTGGACTCTCGATCGACCAGGGAGTCGTAAAATATTTTACGACTCTCCGGTCGACATGTACTGCCATGTGTACGGAGTACGGTGTACGGTGTTCGTTAGTGCAAACGAGTTGGCCGCACAAACGAGCAGAGTTTCTGGCGAGCGAGCTAACGAGTATCCGGTGAGATCGTTTCAACACTAGTTGCTTCATAACTCGTTTCCACGTGATTTCTTCTATTTTAATTTTAATTTTATAGCTTCCCTTTGTTGCCTAGTGTCTTGCCTAAATGCAGGTTTGACTGTATCTGATCAAGACAGAAGGGCCGCCCATACAATACCCACAAGAACAGGCAATCATTGGCACAATCAAACTAGCTTGCTCACCTCAAACGCAGCACAGGACTTGATTGGATAAAGGGCGAGGGAAACTAGGCAAAGTTCTTTACCAGATTCGGACTCCACTGCTGCTGTCCCTTCACCGCCGCTTGCTTCAGCCAAGGCTCGAGTCGATGATGGTTCCGTGACAAGGAAGCAAGATCTGATGAAGTTGACGACGGCCATCACGTCAGCAACATTGGACATATAGCCGAATGAGATGCGTACAGCACCAGTTGGGCGTCCGTCAATCATATCCATTTCATCACCGCACTGGTGTCCAGACTATAAGGCACATCAGTCGACACACATAAGAGCCTGCATCAGTACATGCATACATGTACATTACAAAATACATGTACGTTTATACATGATTGTAAATAATAACAAAGAATAGCATCTAGCTGCACTGCCTCTTACCGCCCAGTGATGACGTATGCGCTCGTCCGACAATCCCAGCCAGCGTTGACATGCACCCATGTTACAGAAACAGCCGGTGCGTAGTTGAATGTCATGAGCAGCTGCCAGCTTCCCAACCTCGATAGGAAAAAAAGAAGATATAACAGCGCACCAGAAGGCAAAAAAATATTGTAATCCACTGCTCGATGATTGCTCAACATACGAAACTTTTACGGTGCAGCTAAATTTGTCCTTATTTTAAACTCTTTCACCGCGGATGATGTACTGTCGACTCCACTTACTGGTATAGCGAACTCGCATATAACAAATTTCGTGATAAACTGTAGGGGTGAAACGAAGGTCTCAATTTACCAAATGAACCTTCTTCATGAAAACGAACGAAGGTGTCGAAGGATTCTTTTACCAGTTCACAGTTCCTCTTGAAGCACACTCTGTGCATGTGCCCTACAAAATACATGACTGTGCACATATTTGCTGTGCAGTCACCACAATTGGCACGCCTATAGCTTTTGCACTGCGCAGTTTGCGCCCCAAACTGCCCAAGACTACTTCTGCACACCTTGGCCGTGAATGGCTACGCTCAAGCGCAGTCCGTGGCTTGCTATGAACTTGCAGTGGCACCTACCGGGAGCCAAGTGGACACAAAACTAGTCGACTGTACAAACTACAGTACAGTACCTCCTGTATACAAGGAAGATCAGTGCATGTGTGTGCAGAAATCGTGGGTTAACCTTCTTTTGAATTGAAAACGAAGGTTTGTTTCAAATGAAAACGAAGGTTCTTCGAACCTTTGACACCTTCGTTTCACCCCTATGATAAAGCGAACCATTGCAGGGTTCTAGCCAAAGGGGGGTAGGGGGGTGCAGCGCCCCCCTACTCCGTTTGCGTGCCCCCCTGTGAAAAAGTGCCGCCCCCCTACTCATTTTCCGATTTTTGTGTTTTTTCACGCCATTCAACGAAAATACAGTCGATAGTCACTACTAGAGGGTTCATAAAGGCACATTTGAGAGGAGTGAAGTCGGGGTTAACCCTGATGTTGCATTTTGCATGGCAAGACAATTTTGGACAATGGAAAAAATGGGTCATGGGGTAACTTTTTCCCATGCCCGCCCCCCTACTATATTGACCTGGCTAGAACCCTGCATTGTCCATGTCCCTGTTTGAACCTATACAAAATTGACCCTTTATAGTGAACAATATTCGTTTATTTAGGAATGGGTTTGCTCTCGCACTGGAGCTCGCGCTATTCCGCCGACGACTTGACACTTGACTGACTCACGACTGCCATCCAGAGAACACGAGAAGTCCATCGAACCTTCGACTCGGCAAACCTGCAAGAAAGCACCGCTCCCTGCTCAATACACAGTGTTTCGGGGAATTCACCCCTCATCAGTCGAAGACGCAACCTCTACTTCGTAATATTCGTTTATAGCGAACCAAACCTTGTAGGGCTACATGTAAACCAAGTGCAGTCATACTGTCATTGGTCACATGTCAGCCATGACTTGCTGCTTGTATAGTGTAAGTGCATTTCTGCTATAACGAACTTCGGCTATAAAGAACTAATTCTCCTGCACAATGGTGGTTGTTATCAGGAGCCGACTGTATCTACTATTAGTGAGGTTTTGCATTCCGAATTTCGGTTCGGCGTTCTTCGGTCATTTGTCGAACATCAAAATGCCAAATTTTCGCACCAACGTTTGTTTTGCAAGTCGAAAATGATGTGCTTTCATTTCGTGAGCCCCAGCATCAGCAATGTCCTGTCCCGTGCTCCTTTTCTTGCTGATTCCAACGAACTTTGATCGCCCAAAGAGTCGAGGGCCAAACCTGCCTCCCCAGTCGCCTCAGAAAAACCAACTCCATGGCCAAGTCAAATTTTATGCGTATCGCCATAGTCTTTTCAGCCACACAGATGACGGTGAGGATACTCCAGGCGAAAGAGAGTAGACAGGCAGTGGAGAGGAGCAATCAGAGGTAGCTGACGATGCTGATGTCGCCAAAAACGGAGGCGAAGCGATGCCGAGATAAGAAACCTCTTTGAATAAATCACGCGCTAGCGCTCTTCTACAAGAAAATTCATCCGAAAAATATTTTCGGCAAAGTGAGCTTTTTCCGAACAAACATGCCGAATCTTCGTGTGCATTTTCGACCTCGCTCCCGCGTGCCGAATCTTTTTGCCGAATTTCGGAATGCAAAACCTCACTATTGACAAAGAGGTCAATATGGGGAAATGTAGACCGAGTGAAAGACCGAGGTCCGCCGAGATCTTTTACGAGGCCTATATATCCCCACATTGACCGATTTCAAAGTCAATAATAGACTTACTGTATAAGCAGAAATATTTGTCTGGAATTTAATTTCGTCTTTTTCGTCCAAGGAGCTTTTGGACTAAATTACATGTAGGACTAATGTCGATTTGCCCAGCTTTTCTATACACTCTTATGATCCATGGACGAAATTTTCAACCGAACGAACTTCTTTTCTTTGGAGTTGGACGGAATTATTGACCGACGAAATTTTCTGCCTGTACAGTATCACGACTTCTTTCCTATAACCCCAAAATCTGATCCTGATCCGCCGTGGGCTGGGGTATCTGCAGATTGTGCGGAAGAGATGCGGAGTTGCACACTCTTGTTTACTCTTGATAGCGTATGTAACAATAGTGTACACGGTATTGTGTGTATTTTAGGTACAAGGCTGTGGCAACAACGAGGTTCAGCAGCACAGTGGCTGGGTGGTAGATGAAGTTGCTTGACATACGATACATGCAGTTGCAGGTTTGAATCTGGCTTCTTCTGATTTGTCTTATTTCTGCCAAATTTTCTTTTGAAGTGGAGAGAAAAAAGTCCATCTAAGGCTGCGTTCGGCTGTAGCTACCTGGTCCAATAGAGTAGAGTCATTCTACCGATAGAGGTAGAAGGTAGAGGTAAGTGTACTAACTCTGTCCTACCGGATTTAGTAGTTTTTCACGATATGAATGTGACACGTTTACTTCTCTATGAAGTTGTGTACAACTCCTTGATCTTGCTGGAAATCTCGTACCTCTACCAACTTCTACCGACCTCTACCAGCTTTTACCGAGTAGAGCCGGTAGAGAAAGGTAGAATCTACTCTTTTGAGTAGAAAAAAGGAACGCACCTACCGAAAATAGTTTCTACCCGACGCAGAAATTGAGCTTGGGTCAACTTTTGCGATGCAATCCGCGATGTTCCAGCCGGTTTCCATGAGGATTTCTTCTCCGAGCTCTAAAATGAGGAATTGCCATGGGAGTTGAAATGTCTGGGTGCAACTTGAGGATGCGGGAGTACAGGGATTCCCTCCAAAATACGTTCCCCCTTGATACACCACGTACCAGTCCATGTGTAGCGTACATCGAATGATCGAGTTTTCGTGACTAGGGAGCGTGGTTCTTCTGCCCTGGCCGTATTTCCTAACTTTCTTGTCACACTGATTTCCTCTTCTTCTTTCACTGTGTCCAAAATATGGAAAAGAGTGGAAAGTCGTTTACCTTCGAAATGCCGAATCAGGAGACTGATTCGAGACTGGTGACATGTCGCTAGCAGTGCTGGACCTGGGAATTGCAGGAATCGGTACAACCCCTGCATCGAAGGTGCCACCACGATCAGCCGTGTCCCTTGCGTCAAATGCGCCCCCCTCACCGGCTGATACCGGTAGACATTGGGAAGAAGCCTTCGTGGAAGAGGTGAAGCGATACTGTTGTTCGTGGGACACCTCTGCTGTCGAATACAGAGATAGGCGAGTCCATCATGGGATCTTTTAACAATTACATTTATTTTTTGTCGATTTGCTTGTGATCTTGTGCAGGCTGATGAAAGAGCACGCATGGACAATCATAACCCTGTCAGAAGCTGCGAAAGCGCTTAAGCTGATGGATGCAAAGGCATGCAAAACAAAGTTTAAAAATATCAGGGATACATACATGCGCCACAAAAAGGAGCATGCAGCAAAACAATCCCGCAGCGGTTCCGGTGCTGTATGTATGCCAGATCCCTCACGGCCGCTTTGGTCCTGGATGCAGTTTCTGCGGTACACCGTGCGCCACAGACAGACGGTCAACAACATCGCGATTGTTGAGAATATTGAGAGTGAAGTTTCAAGCACGTGTAGTGACCCGCCAATGTAAAGGACAGAAGGAACTGCAGAAACGCCGAGAGAGGTAGTAGGGAGCAACGCAACTGTGTAGCCATCTAAATCACTATCCCAAGGCAAAAGAGCAACTGGACTCTGGCACTCTCTCTTTCCGTCGAACCTTGAGACTAAACCTCTTGACCTTCGTCCTCTGTCCGACTGAATCGTGTGATCCTGTGATCTTTACATTGACCTTTACCACCATCATCATCAGTGCAATCAACAAACGACATCGTCCTGCTAAGTAATGATGTTGTTCCCTCTCCAATACCCAGCCCAGCAGAACCACTCCCTTCCCATGGTGACATGTCGCTAGCAGTGCCGGACCTGGGAATTGCAGGAATCGGTACAACCCCTGCATCGAAGGTGCCACCACGATCAGCTGTGTCCCTTGCATCAAATGTGTCCCCCTCACCGGCTGATACCGGTAGACATTGGGAAGAAGCCTTTGTAGAAGAGGTGAAGCGATACTGTTGTTCGTGGGACACCTCTGCTGTTGAATACAGAGATAGGTGAGTCCATCATGGGATCTTTTAACAATTACATTTATGTCGATTTGCTTGTGATCTGGTGCAGGCTGATGAAAGAGCGCGCATGGTCAATTGTAACCCTGTCAGAAGCTGCGAAAGCGCTTAAGCTGATGGATGCAAAGGCATGCAAAACAAAGTTCAAAAATATCAGGGACACATACATGCGCCACAAAAAGGAGCATGCAGCAAAACAATCCCGCAGTGGTTCCGGTGCTGTATGTATGCCAGATCCCTCATGGCCGCTTTGGTCCTGGATGCAGTTTCTGCGGTACACCGTGCGCCACAGGCAGACGGCCAGCAGCATCGCTATTGTTGAGAATGAAGTTTCAAACACGTGTAGTGACCTTTACCACCATCCTCACCAGTGCAATCGGCAAACGACATTGTTCTGCAAAGTGATGATGTTGTTCCCTCTCCAATACCCAGCCCAGCAGAACCACTCCCTTCCCAAAGTGAAATTGTGCCACAGACCAGTAGCCCAGTCATAAGCGACGTACAACGCCCAGGGGAAAGGAGACATGCATTTGACGACGGAATGGACTCGAGACTGTTAGGATTGGCAGGTACGCTGGGGGGAAAGGAGACGTCCGTTTGACGACGGAATGGACTCGAGACTGTTGGGATTGGCAGGTACACTGGTGTCCCGTTTGATATGCATGATAAGTCATATTGGATTTGTACTGTTAGGTACCTCCTACCCAGGCACTTGATAAGCTCTTGTTTGGTCATTTCATTCTCTGTCTCTTCTCCGAATCTCGAGCCTTGACACATCGAACTTCGTCGTCTGATTGTGCGTGTCGTAAGACTTTACAGTATGATAAGTCAGTGGGTTGGCTTCTATATCTCTATCTCCCACAGCATGGCGAGGGCGGCTTCACTTTCGTCAGTACAATACATCGAAACATGCTCGCTTTGGCATAAAGGTGTTTGCGTTGTGCGAGAGTAATGGATACCTGTGCAACTTTAGAATCTATGCTGGCAAAGACACCATGTTCAGCGACAACATGGTCAAGCAGGTGGGGAAATCCGGTGCTGTAGTTGCAAAGCTCATCGAGCCGTACGCCAACAAGGGATACCATCTCTTCACGGATAACTGGTACACCAGTGTTGAGCTGAGCCAGTACAAGAGCACCATTGGCACAGCAACCTGTGGCACAGTCCGCAAAGACCGCCGTGGATTACCCAAGAGGGTTATTTCTTGCCGTGGTTTGCAAAAGGGAGAGTTCCTTTCCCGTTCAGCACCGGGGACCCAAGAGAGTCATTTCTTGCTGTGGTTTGCAAAACGGAGAGTTCCTCCGAGAGTTCAATTTTTTTTAAATTGTCCTAAAAATAATTCCTAAATGTGTAAGTGGCTGCGTTGGAGTTCGCGGACAATTAGAAAGGTTTGTCCTGTAGGTCCAGCTCGTACTCTGCCCTGGGAACTTGTTAAATGTGATGTGTCCTTGAACATCTTCATACATGTAGTTCAATAAGTACCTATGCAATGGATATTTTGTCATTCATTACCCTGATGATGGACCAGGCCCGAAAATTTGGTGTACCGTAAATTTCAATTTTAATCGCAGTGAAAAGACCGTTTTCGGAGTTTGCAGTTGACAAGTGAAGTTTCCTAAAAGCTAATTTTATGCGCATGTACAGGTGTACATACACACGCAAAGATGCGTTACAAGCGTACCTGATTGTTTCCTATATAGGTCCCATCAGGCTGCAGCAGGTTAAATGCAACGACAGGTCCCTGAACGGCCGATGACTGATACGCCGTTGACGAATACACCTCCACCACCGGCTTGCCGTTGGAGTGGCACATGGACGTCAGCTGTGCGTAGGCTAAGCTTGCTAGCTGGTGTGTGTGCTTCTCAACTGCTGCCATGTTGTCTACCAAGGAGAACAGAGTGTCAAACCCATGCTGCAAAGCAGCTAGACTCAGGAACGATACTGTTCCATGCTCCAATCTGCCTTAGTGCAATAGCAAGTCAGAAAACAAAGAAAGCAAGTACAAAAACTTCAGCTAATATAAAAAATCACTGACTAAAGTCTACGGCTGGACTGTTTCGGGCATGGACCAGCCATTTTACATCACTCCGAAACCATCAATCAATGTCCTAGGGAGATATACGACTACATCTCCCAATGCTACATCGCAATATCATCGATGAGACAGAGTAGGGTGTGGATGCATACAATTGCACGATACTGTGTCCACAAGCACGTCTCAAATCACACCACACATCATGCCGCGACTACCAATAGAGCTCAAAGTCGATTCCAATTGCATTAGGAGACGGTTAACAAGAAAAAGAAAGGCTCTGCCTATGCTCATAAACGACATGCAAGCAGACAGAGAATGCAGCTTGAAAAACTCAGGAGAAGGGAACTCACCATCTGCAACAATCCAATATATAATTTCCGTACACCCATGTACAGGCACACACACAAAGTATCAGAATCCCCCCACAGATTAGCCCAGCAATCCATGAATCTAATAGACCTACCTGGCGCTGACCGATGCTCTTGGCTCGGCAAACGCAAAGTATCAGAATCCCCCACAGATTAGCCCAGCAATCTATGAATCTAATAGACCTACCTCGCGCTGACCGATGCTCTTGGCTCGGCAAACGCAAAGTATCAGAATCCCCCACAGATTAGCCCAGCAATCTATGAATCTAATAGACCTACCTCGCGCTGACCGATGCTCTTGGCTCGGCAAACGCAAAGTATCAGAATCCCCCACAGATTAGCCCAGCAATCTATGAATCTAATAGACCTACCTCGCGCTGACCGATGCTCTTGGCTCGGCAAACGCAAAGTATCAGAACCCCCCACAGATTAGCCCAGCAATCTATGAATCTAATAGACCTACCTCGCGCTGACCGATGCTCTTGGCTCGGCAAACGCAAAGTATCAGAATCCCCCACAGATTAGCCCAGCAATCTATGAATCTAATAGACCTACCTGGCGCTGACCGATGCTCTTGGCTCGGCAAACGCAAAGTATCGGAATCCCCCCACAGATTAGCCCAGCAATCTATGAATCTAATAGACCTACCTCGCGCTGACCGATGCTCTTGGCTCGGCAAACGCGCTGTGTGGACTGTAAGCACCCACTGCACCACCGCCAAAGAATGACGGCCTCAGCAAGTTCGACACATCTCGATGAACCAGCAGCGCTCCCAGGCCGGATGGGTAGCCGAGCCACTTGTAAAGCGAGAGGACGACAAAGTGTGGTTGATCTTCACCGCTCAGGGAAACAAGTGATGTGCCAATAGCACCACTAATATCCAGCAAAACATGCCCGTGGATACTAGGACAAGTACCTATACCACTTTCTAGACTTGAATTCTTGTCAGTTGCCGACACTGGAGGCGATTGGATTCTCCGGCACCAGGATAGCGGGTACTTGGCACCATTGAAGTTGCTCTGCAGAGGATAAGCAACTAGACAGTGCCGTTGACGGCGTATTGTATCGCAGCTGCTGCAGCCCGATGAACTTAGGTCAGTGCCAGAACTGATGCAGCCGGACTCGGAACCGTGATCAGAACTATGCACCCTCCGCCCTTCATCTGATAGGCGTGCGTGATGTTGCTCTGCTCCAGTAACAACTGGTGTGGACATCTCACACTGCTGATGGATCACCTCACCTCGTTTCAAGAGTTCGTGCACGCTCCTGCTTTGCTCAATATCCTTGGTTGAGAAGCAGGTGACATGTGCACCCTGTTTCCAAGCTTCACCTCGCATTCCTACTACCGACGTATGATTGTCGGCGAGGTAGGCCAGCACGCTTCGGTTATCACACGAGCACTGCCCTCTATCGCCGCTAGAATTGTCTTCGTTGGTCATGGTGCTAGATGCGGGTTGATGAGCATCGGTGAAACTCCACGGGAAACACTGCGAGAGAAGATTGAGCGAGGCCGTGCAGCCTGCCGTAAAGACGACACTGTATTCATCGCTGCTCGTGCCCAGTTCCTGCAGCAAGCGATGGCGAGCTCCATCCACTAGCCCGGCGCTACGCTCGCTGGACGTGCTCGCGGAGCTGTGCGGGTTACCCAGGATGTTCGTACACAGCTGCTCACAGTGGCGTCGGACATAGCTCTCCGCATACTGCGGTGCACCAGCATGGTCCACGTACACGGTATCTGCATCCCACGACACATAAACATACAGAAAGCAAACCAGAAAGCAAACAAAAATATTACTAGTACACCAATAAATGCAGCAAGACCACATCTATCTATCCCTCTGCCCAGCTGAACAAATACTGGACAATTATATTTCGCCCACAACAAGTTCGCTGTGCAATAAATAAAATTAATACTCTCGCCAATGGAAAAGAAGGAACAAAATTTAAAAAAGTAAAAGTACTTAAAAATAGCAGTCACATCTTTTTCATGGTTATTATCAACGGGACGATATGCATTCTAAACTTTGAAAAGTGCTTCCCCTCCGCCAAGTCAGTGATAGGCATCATTCTCTTACCAGAGTTACAGAAAATATACATTTGATTTGAAAGATGCAAAGCTAGTTAGTAGTAGAAGGGAAAACAGAACTTCTTGAAGGAATAAAAAATAGCGAGTGGTAAAAATTAGA